TTGTCTCATCTAACATCATCTCCCATCAGTCCTGGTCATTCATTAAGTACTACCTAGCAGGAGATTAACAGGATTATAAATTGAGGCTAGATTGGGCAAAATATCTCTCAGCAAAAATACTGAGTGTGATGCTATTTACTTACAATCCTAGATGTGCTAGAGAGGCATAGGTAGGAGGAGGTAGTCTGAGACCAACCCAAAGGAATGACTCTGCCCAAAACTAATTAAAATAAAAAGGGGTGGGACATGCGTCAAGTGGGACGGTACCAGCCCAGGGAGCCCATGCCTCTGCTCACACTACCAACAAAGATTTAAAAATAAAAAAGCGATGTTTTATCCATCTAGAAAACATCTATCTCAAAAGTAGTTCACCAAACATGATGACTGCATAATGAATAGTTTCTTCTACATACATAGGCAAGCCAATGTGTACACATGTAGACACCTTGCTTATGTAGAAGCAATTTCGTAGTATGAGTTAATCATATAGCAGCACTTCTGAGCTTATTTTCCTAACCTTTATACTATTTGACATTACATGATAACTGACTTGCTCCCAATTATAGATAGATGATAGATAGATGAACTTAGTTTACCTGAAAACTCTCTGATATGCTCATATTCCTACATAACTCAAATTCTTCCCCACTATGACTTTGGCATTTGAATATTGCTCAAACTTCTCCAAAATATTGTTCTAACATTCTTCCAAGATAGGAATAGCCAGATCATATTTGGCTTCACCACTAAGTTCTGTTTGATTTATTTGCACATTTTTTTTCTCATAATTCCATTACCTGGAAAAAAGAAATCTTGCTACCACTAACAAACAACAAAGGTGCGATTCCATCTTCCTCCACCTACATAGCTAAATTCTAACTATTTTTTCTTGGTGCCCTGGCCCCAACACTTTTCCCCTTCTTTCTTTTCCCCTTCCCCCCTGACCCATCCCCTCAATCTTCCATTCACCCATTTCCTGGTTCTGATTTTGTTGGGCCTTGGCCTAGTCTTTCTAAAAATTTATATTATTTTGAGCTCTACATAGTCAAGGTTATAGTAAAGAAATGAACACATCAGATTCTATTCAGCACTATTCAACATAACCAAGATATGGAATCAGCCCAGCTCCCCTTCAGTGGACAATTAGATCAAGAAAATGTGCTATATATACACAATGGAATGTTACTCATCCATTAGAAAGAATGACATTGTATTGTTTGTAAGAAAATGGAAAGACTTGGAAAAAATTACATTAAGTGAAGTAAGCCAGGCTCAGAGAAACAAAGGTTGCATGGTTTCCATTTTCTGTGATAGATTATAGATGCAGTAGATAGAATGTACCTATAAATCTGTAAGTAAACACATTGGGTTGTATGCAAGAGGTTACAAATATATTCCATTTCTATCAGGAAATGTTGATAGCTCCACTTTTTACGCTATAGCAGTGCATGTCCTTTCTGTTCTCCAATCAACTGTTCTAGTCAATTGGATAGGAAACACTTTCTTTTTGACCTTTCTTAGAATTAAGTATCTGTCTCTCTCTCTCCCTCCCTCTCTCTCTCTCTCTCTCTCTCTCTCTAACACACACACACACACACACACGCGCGCGCGCGCGCGCGCACACACACACACACACACACACCATGCACAGTAAAATTTGGGGAGCCAAATCACCATAAGAGCAAAATGGATAAATATGAGTGTTGCAAATTCCCAATTTTAAGCAGGAACAATGAGCTAGTTAGTATTACCAGGAATTTAGGGCAGCTAAGTTGAACTTGGTCCTTGCATATGGTGAGAGAGAATTCAGACAAGCTCAAACACAGTAAAGTCAACAGGAAAGTTTATTACTAAAGGAATATGGCAGACAAAGAGAGCACGTGGCGTACACATTCTGCAACAAGACAGCACTTGAGCCCATCTAAACGTCATACACAATCTTCAGGGTAACAGAGGTGGGCCCTGGGTTAAAAAAGGAGAATTGGAGTGCTTGCAGAAGGCTTTCTGATTGGCAGATCTCCTTTCTGTTCCCTTAAGGTCATAGTACCAAAGATTTAGTGCCCTGACTTCCCTCATTTTTTTGTAGCCCCCTTTATCCATTTGTTGTCAGGCACGTTTTATCAGCTTATTCTGCCATCTGCAGGCCATATAGGCTGCAATTCCCTGATTGGCTGTTTTTCTACTAGCTCCCATCACTAGCTGACAGAACTGCAAGTAAAAACTTTTGTAAATTTATTTTCTTGGAAGCATTTAGAAATAGTCAGATTTATTACACTTAATGAATGTATGAGTTTTCATTCTGTGTACAATGGGAACTTGTAAGTTCCAAAGTCAGTAATCAAGCTGGGGAAGTGCAGCTATCAAGTCTGGAAACATGAAACTATTTCTCGGATTTTCATTCCTTCACAGTACACAACAGGAAATAAGTTTCATCAGTAGTATTTATGAGGAGACTAGTTTTAGTTTGTTTTGATTTAAAGATTATAAGAATATTACCTTTTTTATTCCTTTTTAAAGAACTGATCAAAATACATTGCTATAATTATAGTCAGCTTCCCATCAGTAAAAACATTTAATAAAATGGTGGATTACTAAGTCACATGAGCAATAAAATCAACAGATTTTAACATCAAGTATATCTATTGGTTCTACCTCTCCTACGGGGCCATCCTAAGAAAGCAAGAGGAAAATGCATTACTATTCCCAATGGTAGAGAACTTTAAATACTAACCCCAAGAGGGCTCTATCCCTACCCCACTAAAGAAGATTTACAATGAATCTGGTAGACAAGGCCAGTACATGGCATTTAAAGTAGTTAAAAGAGAATTTAATGATAAACTGGGACTAAAGACCCCATGAAATCTGGAGGCATCGCAGCATGAGACAAGGGGGACACACGAAAAAGTTAAGGACTCCAGTGACTCTGAATGGACCAACAAGCTGGCCCACTGAAGGAATATACCAAGCTTAAGTAGATTTTCCAGGTTATTCCACTGGCATTTTCTCTAATTTTAAGTAACACTGAGTGTGTACGTATGCATGTACATGTATGTTTATAAGTTCATTAGCATCCAAAATATGTATGTATATATTTGCATTTACGCATAGACACATTTTTTTTTAGTACTGGAGATAAAACCCAAAGTCTTGCAAACTCTACCACTTGAGCTACACACCCAACTCATTTGTTTTTATTCCGTTTTTAGTGAGAGACGGTCTTGCTAACTTTGTCTGGGTTGACCTCTCCCTCACATCCTCCTGCCTCTGCTTCTTGAGTAGCTGGGATAACAGGCATGGAGCACCATGCCCGGCTGCATGTATTTCTTCTGATTAAGGTCTAGGCTATCAACAGGTAGCCTTGCCAGGTGCAGTGGAACACTCCACAGCACTCCACAGAGGTATACACAAGAGGATCATGAATTTGAGGTCAGCTTAGATCTCAAATTCCAGGTCAGTCTGGAAACCCTGTCTTATATAACAATAACAACAAAAGCAAAACTCTAGAATTCTTAAGAAATGAATCCTTCCTTACCTAATACCTATTTTTCATTAGGCACTGTAGAGTATGTTGTTAAACAACCCACATTTCTTGATTTAGACATTAGAGACATTTAAAACTTCTAACTGAGCACTTACAGTTAGGAGGATGTTTAGAGATTGTCAAATGAACCTCTAAATCAAGAAATTTTTGGGTTTTTTTTACAAGAATATGCCAATGAGTATAAATTCATTTAAATTTGGGAGGGTTAAGTGTTAGAGAGAGAGAGAGAGAGAGAGACTTCTCTAATAACACTATCTTGGAGAAAAGGCTCCAAGTCTGGAAAGGAGGTCAAATTTCTAATTCTACCCAGGGGATGAATCTTGAGTCTCAAGTTCTTCGTCTGGAGAATGGACTGTCTTGTTTCAATTATATTCACTCACAGCATTCAATAAGATGGATACTTTCTGTGAAAATATCCATCATCTGTGAAGAAGTGTGCAAGTGTCTTCCTATACGAAAAAAGTGGCTCACAATAGCATCATCATTTCTCACTTTTAAACAAATAGTACGGGGGGGGGGGGAGGCTGGAAAGGGATGTGAAGGGTAAACAAAGGAGGAGGCTGCTATGCTTGATAAGAAATGTACTCATTAGCTTGCCCATGTAATTGTAACCCCTCTGTACAGTATGTTCACAAAAAATTAAAATTAAAAAAAAAACAAATAGTACCAGTGGCATGTCATTAACTCAAAAGAAGGGCTTTGACTTGAATAAATAAACCTTCATGCAAAAAAAAAAGAGTTCACATACAGTCTACGAGTGATATGGTTATACTAAATATCTTGAAACAATTAATTTGATCCTTGTCTCTCCTCATCTAGGATTTTTAAGTTTATAAATTCTCAATCCTTTCTATCTAATTAAGACTTTTTGGTTTCTTTTGCATTTTCCTCTGTGGCACGCTTCCCTCTCCTCTCAGAGCTGTCTCTGGCCATTAGAGCTGCAGATCTCCGTTGGTGGTAGTCTTCTCTGATTCTGCAGAAACCCCCTAATCCTCTGTTTACCACAACACCGGTCTATTGCCATAGGAATGATAACTGAGCTCTCACACTCAGCACCAGTGACTTCACAGCAGGGCCTTGTAAGAGGAGAAGTCAAGCTAGGAGGGGAACAGAATTTATGAGAAGAGTAGGGACTCTGTTGCCTTGAAAGAAAGGGGATTGTCCACATTAAGATAAAAATGCATGAATGAGCTATGTTGTTGGGTACACTGAAGTTTATTTTGTGTATAATGCTGCCTAGATGGTCATTTGGAATCTTATGTCATTTAATCCTTTGCTTTGAAAAGGTCAGCACTTTCCCTTGATTGCATTTGTTTCCTATTAAAATAAGAGGCAAGCAGATTCTAATTAATCTGTTGCATAACTGATATGCTATGATCAAAGATTTTCCTTTTCATGATGCATTGTTTTGTTTGTGTGTTCATCGTGTGTGTTTGTTTCGTCTTGTTTCTATTAATAGAAGAAAGTGAACCTGAGCAGGATACTAAAGGTATACTTTTAAATTTTTCTGCACTGCTCCTTTTAAAATGCATGGCTCCTCTCAATGATTTATTTTGTCTGACCATCGAAACAATTCTCAGTGGCATTGTTTTAAGAAACAAGTGACCTATGGGGATATGAAATCAGAGTATCTAACAGAGGATGATAGGTTACTTTGTTATCTAACCTGCTTATTGACCATTTACGTTTCTTAAGAAAAGCCTGGGCCAACAGAATGTTTGAGTTTACTGTCCCGAAATGGAAGCATAAGTAAAATGAAAGGAAATAAATTAGCAAGGGAGTATAAATTCCACACAGCTGCTAAGCAAAGTTGCTTCTTTTCTAGGTGAGTGGGAAAGTTGTTGGGGCTAAAATTTTGGAGAATTGTTAAAATGTCATGGTTCCAATTTATGCTTTTAATTTTTTGAAGTATTTCATAGGACAAGGAGTTTTAGGCAATTGCTCCAAATCAATAAAAATTACGTTATTTCATTTTAATCTCACACAGATGTGTGTATTTTCTGGAATATGTTTAAAAGAAAATAACTGGAAATCAAATTTGTCTTGGAAAACCCCTCCTGTAGAATAAGAGTTGCAATCACAAAAAGTACCTCATAAGCTGGGTGCCAGTAGCTCATACCTATAATCCTAGCTATTCAGGAGCTGAGATCTGAAAATCGTGGTTGGAAGCCAGTCCAGGCACGAAAGTCCATGAGACTTTCATCTCCAATAAACTACTCAGAAAAAGCTGGAAGTGATACTGTGAGTCAAGTGGTAGAGCTTTAGCCTTGAGCACAAATTGGCTCAGGGACAGCCTGGCCCTATGTTCAAACTCCAGGACTGGCACCAAAAACAAAACAAATCAAAAAAAGTACTTCCATCCTGAGCAAGGCCCATGCTTTGTGCTCTTCCAGCCTACATATTGATATTTTGGGGATGAAACTCAAATTCTCATGCAATATAGTTTACCTCTCTATGATTTAATCTAGTGCTAATTTTATTTTAAATAGTGGCTATTTATGTTATAGTCAAGTGTTTGTTACCCAAAATGCTTGGGACCAGAAAATTTTATACTATTTATATAAACCTCTCCAGTTGAGCATGCCTACTCTAAAACTCCAAACTCTAAAATGCTCTAAAATGGAAACTTCTTGGTACCTGTCAGTACTTAAAACCTTTCAGACTTCAGATTACTTCAGATTTTGGACTTTCAGATTAGAGATGTCCAACTATATTTGAATATTTTTCCTTTTTTTATTCTTTTTAAATTATGAGATTACTTACAACTAAAGTCATGTGGAAACATTCTAAGTGATCTTTGTGATTTTTTAAAATGAGGTTTTTTTTACCCCGTTTATTCCTTTAAGTCATTGTTGGTTTGAATCAACTAAAATCTTCTTTAAAAAAGAAATGCTTAAGAGAAAACAAAGTTTATGTCAGCTAGTTATGTCTTTTGAAATAATTGCTTGGAAATAGAAGTTGAGAAGAGACTGAAGTATTCATCTGGCAGTGCTCCCTTACCAAGGAAATAGATGTAATTCATCTTAGGCCAAAGTGCTTGTTACTTCAGGACTTAATTTGGGTTCTTTGAGTTCCATTACACCACAGGGCAATTTCAGAGTAAATGGTGGCCTTATGTCATTAATATGCGCTATCCTTAAAATGAAAACCACTAATAAGACTGATGATGTGTCTGAAAATTGTATTTTAATGAACTCTGGAATTGCTGGTTGCTTACTCACAAATTTGAATGCAGAATTCTCAGCCTATAGATGGCTTTACAAATCTGCCCCATAAAAATAATCTCCAAATTCATCAATGGATTCCATGAGAGAAGCTAGGGATCAATAGATTGCTGGTATCTATTGTTCCTGGTACAGAAGAACAATAACTTTTGTGTGCCCATGGGAAAATAAATAGGAAATAACTCAATGAATTGGAGAGTGATAGATTAGAATACATTCACCAAGAGTAGGTATACAAGTTATTCAAAAAAGTTTTTTTGTCAGCTGTGGGGCTTGAAACGTCTTCAAAAATTTGTATTAAAACAAGTACCAACTTTTCTCAAATCATTAGTTTTATAGCCTTTCTATTAAGCAGTTTAGCTACTTACAGAAACAGAAACACACACTTTCTCTTTCATGCAAGTAAGTACAAATAAGGTTATTTGATACATATCTTATTTGATAAGAAACATCACATTGTGTTTTAAATTGATGACCTATAATGTATTTTCAGCTTGTGGCTACCACTAATAATCCATCATATTACTATTAATCTACATCATTATAGATGTGTTATTACACATGGAGGTTACTCTGACATTATTTGGAATTGTAACTGACTTCACTGCAAATATTAGATGTGTTGAAATCTTCATCTTTTATATTTAGAACTATATATATACATATATACACACATGTTGAGAGAGAGAGAAAGAGAGAGAGAGAGCACTTACCAGGTACCAGGAACTGGACACTGGATAGACAAATATATAGATAGACAAATTGGTGACCTTGCATTAATGAATAATATAAACTCTGATCTTGTAATGCTTATATTCTAGAGAGAAGACATGAAATTAATTAATTCATCAGCATTCATAAAATTACAATAAGCACTATGAAGAAACCCAAATAGGACTAAGGACTAAGGGAATGAAGATGAAAAAGCATTATGATAGTGAGATACTTGAATGGAAACCCAGAGGACATTTGGAAGTCCCTTTGAGAACAGAGGGAAGGTGAAAGGAAAGGTTGAAATTAAATTTCATACTGACGACTGAGTGTTTTATTTCCGAGAGAATGTGAGTGTAGAAGAGAGAGTAGCATCCCCCAGCTAGCCATGCTCTTTTTCTTTTTTCTTACCACAGTATATCTGATAACCAACCATGATCAGCCATAGTATCTGAACTTCAGGAAGAACAGTTCATCAGCAAAGACTCATGTTCATAAAGCTACCTGCAATGCCAATAGTATTATTCTCTCCTAGTGTGTCCCTACTAGAGCTCCCAGAAAGGTCTGACTTGGAGCAGAGATGCGTATGAATTAAATTAACTCCAACATGATGAACTAGAGAATAGGAATGGACTTGGACTAATTTACTGTCTCACATTATGCTTAGCTGTCTTGTGCAATATGGATCAGCAGACATTTTGCAATGAGCCCAAATGATATTCCAAATAAATCAATGCTGGCTAAAGAAAAAATGAAAAGCTATAAATTAGGGCAAAATGAACCCTCCCAAATTACTAAATTTCCAAGAAAAATCTTAAGTCCCTCAAATGAAAACTTTTGTCTTTGTAAATCAAAACAGAAGAAAAAAATCTAGATTTCATTCTTTTGCATTTTTTAAAATTGTGCTCATCTTCAGCCAGAAGGCTCTTATTCAAGTTCAGAGGTACAGCCATTAGAACAAGTTTCTAACACTTATCAGATTGAAATGGCCCAACTCAAATCTCTCATGGTCTCCCTTCTTATATTCTCAGAGTCAACAGAACCTGTAAGATGTTAATTGTAGTAAACATACTAAAAACTGTAAACTAACCCCTACATGAATTACTTCAGCCTCAAATACATTGTGCTGTCTAGGTCTACATTATTGTTGATAGAAAGCATTTAAAAAATAGTACCCAGGGTTGGGAATGTGTGCTTGCCTAGCATGAATGAAGCCCTGGGTTCTATTCCTCAATACTACATAAACAGAAGAAGCTGAAAGTGGCGCTGTGGCTCAAGTAGAGCACTAGCCTTGAGCAGAGAGAGGCTCAGGGACAGAGCCCAGGCCCTGAGTTCAAGCCCCAGGACCAGCAGAAAAAAAAAAATAGTTCCTACATGATAAGAACCTGGTCAGTGTAAGTTGTCAAAAGTCTACATACAGGGTACAAGCTTAGGCTAAATAGAGTAAGAATCTCCAGAGAGGCTAGGAGATGCACATCCCTGCAATCTCAGAGATCCCAAGGTTGGAGGTCAGGCTGGGCAAAATTTAGTGACTCTCTCTTAAAAACTAAAGGCTAGGGTGTTCAGCTAGGGTATATAGTTAGGCTAGGGTGTAAGAGGTACAGTGGTTGCCTACCAAGCATGGGGACCTGGATTTAATCACCAGTACCACCATAATAGAAAAACTATCCAAAAAGAGCTATACATTGCATTTAGCTGATTTATCTCCTATTCTTTTTTCCCTCTTGTTGTCATTTATTTATTAAGGGAATCAAGTAACTTGCTCTTGTAAATTTCATGCATTCTACATTGCAGAAATGCATGACTATGGTATTGTACAATGTGCTCCTGATTTGCTACTTATTGTTGATTGGTAAATAGACCCCCAGAACTTACTATCAGGTACATCTGGCTGTGTTTTGGTTTTGAGGGAGTAGATTCAGCTACATTTAAACATTAGATTTTTTTTAACTCCTTGTTGCCCTTGAAGTCAGCATTTTATTGCTTTATGTTTCCTCTGGCTTGTGGATCCAACATATACATATGTGTGTTATATACATACATAACATATAATAATAGAATATAATATTATATGCTAATATATGTGAGTATGTATATATAATATATACAAATAGATATATAATTTTCTAACAATCTCTGTGCTTGATCTATGATTATTCTTTCTATGCATATACAGTCTAGAATATACTGTCTCTCCATTCCTTTGGAATTCAACTCCATAAATTTCAACTAACTAGAACTAAGCATCAAAGCACCAATCTGCTTAGTCAATTGATTTACTACCATTTGTTATTGTTTATTGTTTTATTACTACTTATTATTATTTAATTAATTTCTGTTAATTGGGAATACATACTCTAATGTCATGTTCTATGGGTAAGTCCTAGAAAAGGCATAGTAAGATAAAAATACTATATTTTTTGCATTATAACAGGAAATAAAAAGATTGCATAATAGTTTTAAAGAACACTGGATTTGAAGTGACAAGTCATAAGACCAGATTTCTTACCATTACATTCATTCATTCACAAAAGAAAATTAATGAGGTTTTGATTTCCACATCTATAAAATCAGAGCAAGAATCTAGTTTATCTTTGACATATCTTCCAAGTTCAATACTTCTGTGATTTTACTAATTATCCTTCAATTGATTGTACATTCTGAGCCTTGGTCTAGCCATCAGTTAAAGAGAAAATTGTCACATCAGAAGAATTTTCTCTAATCAGTGAAGATTAAGTATGAGATGACTCTCTCCAAAAATTATGACAGATTTGTGCCTGTCTTTCTACTATGGTAGCATTGAGGAAATAAAGTATTTATGACTCATTTATTTTTTATGAATCTTTTCTTATTTCTTTTTATTGTGCTGGTACTGAGCTTGGGGTCAGGGTCTTATATTCTCCCTCAACTTTCTGACTCACACAAAGAAATTAACAGACAATTAAAAAAAAAGGAGATACTACTCAATTACAGTACATCCATAAAGAAAATAAAATAGAATGAGGGAATGAGTGAAAGAGGGGTTACACTGTAGGGTAACTAAGGAAGATTTTTTTTCTGAGAAAACATCATTTAAATAGAGATGAATTACATATAGAGAGAACCTCTCATGCAAAGACATGAGGAATAAGTGTCATAGACTGAAGAATAACAAACTCAGTGTGTCCTGAGATAAAGACATAAAGAACTCAGAGGAAGAATCATAACCTTGGGTATTGTCCTTAAGACAGGAGAAAACAGGTAAGATCTCAAATGGAAAAACCATAGTCTAATTTGCATTTTTAAAGACCACACTAACTCAGTCATTCACTCACCACTCTGTCTTCCTAACAGTTTTTGCCAGAATCCTGCGGGCTCCTGAATCCCACAATGTCACCTTTGGTTCCTTTGTGACCTTACGCTGTACAGCAACAGGCATCCCTGTTCCAACCATCAGCTGGATTGAAAATGGAAATGCTGTGAGTGCCATGTGGAGGTTCATGTGGGGCAGACCCACTAGTGGTAAATTTGAGGCTAGAGCCCATATTCATAGAATTACCTTGATTGTGTCATTAGTCCTCCTTGAACCATTTTTAGAAACCTTTCAATGTCTTTGTCCTAGAAACCACTGCCATATACACTGTAATCCAGGAGACTACTTCTAATCTTATATCATGGGGGAATAGTAGAAAACCAAATACTTCCTTTGTGTCTTTGTATAAAAGGGATATATGGTTATAATTATTTCCCACAAGTTAAATAATTATAATAAATTACATCTGTGAAAGATTAGTTCATAGCTGGAGGCAACTTTCATTTTTAAAAAAAATCCAGAATTAGAATTCATGTGTACTTGTTCAACCTTCTTTCCTTTTCCCGCCCCCTTTTTTTTGTTGTTGGCTGTAGGTCTTGAACTCAGCCTGGGTACTATCTCTGAGCTCTTTTTGCTAAAGGCTAGCATTCTACCACTTTGAGCCACAGTGCCACTTCCAGTTTTCTGGTGGCTAATTAGAGATAAGAGTTTCATGGACTTTCCTGCCCTGGCTGGGTTCAAACCACAGTCCTCAGATTTTACCCTCCTGAGTAGCTAGAATTATAGGCTTGAGCCACCAGTGTCTGGTTCTCTTCTTTATTTTTCAGAGTAATGGTAGCAGGCCAGTACCAGTGGCTTATGCCTATAATCCCAGCTACTCCAGAAGCTGAGATCAGAGGATCAAACTAGAAAGCCAGCCCAGGCAGGAGAGTCAGTGAAACTCACATTCCAATTAACTACCAAAAACAGTTGAAAGTAAAGCTATGGCTCAAGTGGCAGAATGCTAGCCTTGAGCACAAAAACCAAGGGACAGCGACCAGGCCAGGAGTTAAAGCAACAGAACTGGCATGCACACACACAAAAAGAATAACAGTAGCTAATGTGTATTAGATGTCTATTTTGAGCCAAGTCCTGCTACAAGCACTTTACATATAATCATTTATTTATTTATTCTACAAATGTCCGTTGAACATCTGAGTATCAAGCACTACTCTAGGCCTTGTGGAAACAGGAGCAAACAAAATAAAATTCCCTTCCTTTAGAGACCTTGCATGCTGATAGGGGAAGACACATGATAAAATAAACAAATAAGATAATCTATATTGCATGTGGAATGTAACTGTTACAAAAATAAATAAGCTGGAAACAGAATTGGAAAGCTTGAATTTAGGAGAAAGATCTGTTTTCAACAGAGCAGTTAAGTCTCTTTAAGGCAAAGCTATTTATTTGGGCAAAGAGCTAGAAGAGATGAAGGAGGAGACAATGTAGTCCCAGAAAGGCCAACTGGACAGTCTCTGTATGCATCTTCTACATCAGAGGGACAGCAAGTTGGCTAGTATGGCCACAGGTGAGTGAGCAAAGATCAGAGAGGTGAGGGCTGTGTGTAGGCACTGTAGGACAGAAAGCTTGTGGAAATCACTAATATAACTTCCACTTTATTTGTGAGTGGTAAAACACCATTGTGAGTCTGTTTCTGTTTTCTATTTGCTGGCTGACTTGTTCATTGTCCTTTGCTTCCTTGTGTTCTTAATTTACTTTCTTGTGAAAAGTTAAAATGTCAGGAATGAAATGTTAAAGGCGAAATAGATCTGTCACCTCTGATTCTAAAACAGGAACAAAATAAACCAGCAGTGACTTTCCTCCAGGAAGAAGGCAAAGCTGAAGCCGCAGTTCTTATGGTCGGAGAGCGTGCCTTGCTCTTACAGCCAAGTTCTTGGTAATTCTAGCCAAGTTCAAAACGAAATCAAGATACCTTGGCCTAGGTTGACATAAGTCACCGGAAACAGAGGCAATTTCAGGCACAGGGTAGCAAAAAAAGTAGCAAAGCAGAAATTCCATTGAAGAGAACCTAAAGGAGCTCCTACCTCTGATCTCATTTTAGAAGAGTACTGGAAAAAACTAGTCAGAGCAAGGAGAGATTTGACACAAAATAAAGCAGAGTTTGATCTGTAGCTTTTTACTAACCTGAGTGAACTACAAGTAACCTCCTAACACGCTACCATGTCCACAACCCTCTAAGAGGTGAAAATGATTCCTTTTCCCTTTCTGTGCCCATGCCAACAAACTAAACTCCACAGAGAGCTTAAGAGTTGGAGGAAGTAAAGAAACGGGGGTCAAAGGCATTCCGAAATGATTTCCATTCTTCCTAAGGAAATGCCATTGGTTTCCATGGAAATTTGCAGTCCTCAGTAAACCTCACAATATTAGACATAGTGATTAGAGATGGCTAGAGCTAAAGAGTTAGCCTTTTACAAGGAAAATCCCATGTTTTTGTTCTTACAACCAGATTTATTTAAACACTTACTGGTGATATCTCTATTATTCAGGCACTGGAAAAACATTTGGAAAAACTGTCTCTCTAGCTTTTCCCAATAAATATAACTTCTCAAATGTTTCAAATATATAATACTTTTTTTTGGCTGATCCTGGGGCTTGAAGTCAGGACCTGTGTACTGTTCCTGAGCTTCTTTTGCCCCAAGCCACAGCAGTGTTTCCAGGATGTTATTTTTTGTTTTGTTTTGGAGGGTTTTTGTTGTTGTTGTTATTTGTTAAAAGTAAGAGTCTTACGAACTGTCCTGCCCAGGTTGGTTTTGAACCACAATCCTCAGATCTCAGTCTCCTGAGTAGGTAGGATTACAAATGTGATTACACTGGTGCTTGGCTAAAATAAAAAGCATTTATTAAAATTAAGTAATTTTAATTAGACCATTAAATTTAATAATTATTTCATTACTTCAATTTCATTTATTTAAATGCATTGAGTCAACTTACTTTGATAATTTATTAAACTTTTAAAAAGAAATAACCAAATATATATTGAAAATTGAGTTTTTGAATACCTTTTTTCAATCTCTCACTTAAAGATCTGTAGGTAGTTGTACAAAGGGGTTTCAATTCAACATGTCAGTTTATAAGCACAATGCATCTTGATCAGTGAGACCCTTTCATAATTCACCTTCATCTCTCCCAACCCCACTCATTCCTTTATTTTTCTAGTTCCACTTTCACAAATATACATTGAACATTCTTAAAAAGGGATTTATCTGTATTTTATCAGATTTTTAAAAGATAGTATTTTTGGTTTAAGTATGTAAGCATTGGAGTCTTACTAGCTGGTAGACCAAAAAATTACATATAAAAAGTATTTTTCAGAGTAACTGAACAGCTAGTTTAAAAGAAGTCAACACATATAACTGTGGGTCAAAACCAACATGGACATGTCTCTCAATCTATCTGTTTTCTATAATGTATAGAAATTAAAACTACATGAAAATGTGCCCTCCTGGGTCACACTCTAACCATTCCACAAGGTATTCTCAACCAGTTAGAACTATTCATAAGACAGGGCCATTGAAGCCAGTAGGCCTTTCATAGATCAACCTGTGCTAAGGCCAAATCATAAAGGTACAATATTATCCATAGCTGTGGGAAGAATCTCTCAAGGCAGTGTTACTAGATATTATTAACATATTAATGATATACAAAATATATAGGTCTATACTGCTTAGTTACCTTCAAAGAGCTTTTATATGTATTACCTTACTATGGGTGACTATAACTAGTTAATTATTTTTACTGCATATACTTGAGATATGGGGCATGATGTTTAATATGCATATATTCAAGAAAATGATTGCTACACACAAGCAAATTAATATATTATCTCTTTACAAAGCCATCAGTAGTTCATAAATTACGAATACCATGCCCAGAGTAGTTTATGTGGTACCTTCAGGTCAGTGAAAATAATGTACCAACGGGAAATTCTAGATGCAGTCACTTCAGTTACCAGTCACCCTCAGTAACCAGGGAGTACTGATTTCATGACCCAGTGGATAAGAAAATGCTGCATGCTCAAGTCCCTTGTATAAAATGTGTAATGTTTGCATATAACATTTTCACATCCTCTATCAGCCTTTATATTATCCCTAGATTATTTTTAATAACTACTATCATATAAATGTTGTATAAATAGTTCTTATTGCTGTTTTGTTTGGGGAATAATGACTAGGAAAAAGTCTGTATATGCTCCATATGGACACATTTTTTAAAATATTTTCACTACAGGTGGTTCAACACACAACCCACACATATGGAGGGCCAACGAAATTCTTCACACACATATTAGTAAAAGCTCAGAGTAATAACCTGATCCTTACTCCTTTGATATTTCAAACCTGAAGTGAGGGGTCAAAGATCTAAGTGGAGAACAGAGGGTTGTTTTTATTTTTAGATCATCCAAAATACTAAACTGTTGGTCAGGATGATCCATGAAGATAGAAAAACAAATTCAAACTATGACTAACAAGGCCTGCTGGGTGTGAGTCACCGACCAAATGGAGCAAGGCTTCTAGACCCAAAGGAACGGTCAAGTAGAGAGCTGTGTAATGCATTGGTCGCCTCACACTATTTCAACACCCAGATGACGTCCAGGAGAGCATTCAGGCAGCTCCAAATGGCTTCTCTTTCCTATGAAGGATGCTTTCAGTGACCTTGAGGAAGTTTTTAGAAATACTGGCTTCAGTGCAAACATGAAAATAGTGGGAGTCTAGGCAGCATGGGGCTATGACTTGTTCTAACTTGGCTTCCAGGCCTTACACAGCTTTGCTTCTTGACTGAAGTGACTTTGCAAACAAAGGAAGCATCTGTCCTATGGGTTTCACTTATGTAAACTGGAAAGAAACACTATATAAAATTCAAGATAGCACAAAACGTGTCAAATGAACATATAAATTTGTAGTCTTCTGTCTCTCTTTTCCTTATTGCTACTTAGTATGAAAAGTCAACTGTTCAGTCCCTTGGAACTAAACACTCATATCTCATATCCATAAGATTCTGCAACTCTGACAAATACAATGATAATTTCAATTGGAATTTGCATCTGAGTGTATTATCTCCCTTTTTTGTTTAATTTTCCATAAAGAATGGACTATTTATCTGGTGAATATGCCCACACTACTTGATCTGACCTAAGAACTTTCCCCAGTTAAGGTAAATTGATAATCATATAAACCAGTTCCCATTATAGCAGCTGAGATAGCAGTGAGGACAGATAATAAAGAGATGAAGACAAGGATGAAGTACCCAATTGCTACAGAAAGCACTTGGTGCCAGGGATAGCCCGCCATGTGGCAGCTGGAAGAGAGCTGGTCTCACTTCAGGACTTCTGCCTTCCTTGCTACCCTGTGAAAATCCTCTCTCATGCAAAACAGGGGACTAGCGGGCTCCAATCTTGTCATACTTGGCCACATTCACTGACATTGGACAGAAGAATCTTCCACAGCAACTAAGCTCAGGTCACCACGGTCCCTACTTCTGCTCCCCCAAAATAAAGTAAAGGCATGCCTTTACTTTACTGATTGCATCATTGTCATTTCACTCAAGATCTCCCCCGCTGGTATCATTTTTCCTTCACATAGTTAGTAATAGTTAAATAATAATTGTTGGAAAAAATGACATAGTGCTCAAGAAGACAATGAAAAAAGGACCATTAATGTAAAAAGTGTCACCATCTTGATGATACTTAGATGCCAGACGCTGAGTTGGTTCATAGTTGATAGATTTGTGAAGGCTGTTGTGTTAGCTTTCTGTTACTGTGACAAAATATCTAAGAAAACTAACTTAAAATAAAGATTTATTTTGGTTCATGTTTCAGAAATGTAAGTCCATGGTCACTTGGGTCCACTGCTTCGGACGTAGGTAGTACAGGGTAGGATGGTGGTTGGGAGCATGGTAGAATAGGCTGCTTAGCTCATGGCAGCCAGAAAGAAAAAGAGAAAAGAGGGGGACAGGGGACTTAACTTCCTTCAACAAGGTCCCATTTAACTGGTTATGAAGCCCTTAGTGCATGAAACTGTAGAGGGGCATTGAAGATCTAAACTATAAGACTTATTGTTGCTATTGCACTTGTATTTTGTATGTATGTGTTTGTTTTGTGGCTTGTTTGTTTCAGTCAGTGCTCCCTATCTAGCTAGGCTCGTCTTGAACTCATTGTATAGCTAATGCTGACCTCAAACTCACGATACTTCTGCTTCAGCCTTCTGATAGTCCTAGGATCACAAGTGTCTGGCAGCAGGGCTAACTTGTTCTTGTTTTCTAATGACTTCTCATTCATCCTCAATTCAAGGATTAAGGAGGGACTAGGGGACTGGGTAGTCATCTATCTAGATGATAAGCATTATGGAGAACTAGGGGTTATGGGAATAAAACCCAAAGACTAAAACATCCCATACTTGGATGTCCTTATTTTTAGAACATGAGGAACACATCTTGGAGCATTTACACGGTGTGTCTTCCCTAACTTTTATTAGTCATCAGTTGCCCAAAGCTTAATGACTTAAATTAATAACCACTTATGAACTCATGATGGTTACCAGTCTGAGGATCACTGGATCCTTGGCTTATGTGAAACAGGATTTGAACCAACCTTGGTGGGCCTGGCTCCTATCGCTGGCAGGTTGTATGCTGGTTGGTCCAGGAGAGCCTTCTTCATATGTTTGATGGTTTTCATTGGACTCGACATGATGCAGTAGGAATAAATGGACTGTGTGTGAGTTATCCTCAAGCTGGCTCTAACTGGTTCACAAGGCGCCAAAGAAATTTACAAGTCTCCATGAAGACATCCCAAAATACAACACAAGCTAAATTAGATTAAAAGTGTAAAGAAAGAGGCACCTTCTTGGGGGAAGACCCACCAATTCACACTGTAAGGGCATAGGCACGGGGTTGGGAATTTTTTTCACTACTTTGGCAATTCTTTTCCACGTACCTTTTGATCTTGCTCCTAATGCTTTTACCTTCTGGTCTACTAGTTACAGCAGTATATTGGGAAATCTACAATCTGGTTCTATCTTATATTTTTCCCTACTCTGTTAGGTTTCTTCTGGGTCCATTCAAGAGAGTGTGAAAGATCGAGTGATTGACTCAAGACTGCAGCTGTTTATCACCAAGCCAGGACTCTATACGTGCATAGCTACCAATAAACATGGAGAGAAATTCAGCACTGCAAAGGCGGCAGCCACCATTAGTATAGCAGGTAGGATTGCCCTGAGCGTCTGCATTGCTCCAGGAGAAAATGAAGTTGGCACTATTCCATGCTCTATGGAAATAGGGGAAATTTCCTTTTCTTTTCTCTCTTACTCCAGTCTCCTTTGGGCTATTTTCCCCTCCATAAGGACATTCTAAAGGTGATCTAGACATGGATTTTTTTTTTATGATTTTGCCTCACAAAGTTTCAAATACTTGTTAAAGTGTTGGATAGCAACTGTTAAGAAGCTGTTTTCTTTCTTTCTTTCTTTTTTAATTGAATTTTTTTATTGTGAAAATACCATACAGAGGGGTTACAATTACATGGGCAAGGTAATGAGTACATTTCTTATCAAGCATTGTTGCCTCCTCCGTTGTTTCCCCTTACCATCCCTTCCAATCTCCACCCCCCCAGCTCAGTTCTTTCTATTTCTTGTTTTCCTCCTATTCCTCTTCCTTCTTTCCCTCCTTCCTTTCCCCCCTTTGTCTTTTGTCTCTTTTTCTGTATCTGTCTGTCTGCCTCTTTTTCATCTCTCAAAGAGCAGCTGGCAGACACTTAACATGGTTGAGCCAATTTCCGCGTATCTATTTCTCAAAGCCATTCTTACCTACAAGCATGACTCTTGTAGGTTTTTTTTTTCTTTCCTGTTTTATGTAAACAACAGCAAGCCTTACAGGTATTTTCAAGGAAAAGTGCTGACACATGTGTTTTCTGGGATATTTATGTTGCATTATACAGGTTTATTTTTAAAATTCAAATGTCCCCAAGGCTTCTGAGAACATTTATGGAATTCCTCGAGATGGAAATAATCCATGTATCAGGAAATACCAGGCATGTTATATTCCTAGCAGGTCTACTGTTCAAGGATCAGCCGAAAGGTGATTGGCCTGACATGTAAGGCAAGCGCTGCATCCGACACCAGCTCTCAAAGCCCACTGCTTCTTATTACAGTCTGACTTTTTTGATCTCCTCTGGTGGGGAACTTTCCAGTAATGTCTGGAATTTTTAATTTGAGTTGAGTGAGACCTCAGAGAACTATCTGGGGAGCACTGAACAAGAATGGACCTCTACACAGTGGGCAGAAGACCCCCAAACTAAGCTCCCTTTACCATGTACTTGGGGATACATCTGTCTAGAGAGTCTAGAGGCCTCATATCAGCCATCAGAAATTATTTATCCTGGAGAATGACAAGAGTCTTTAAATTCAAGTCCATTTAACAAGTAATAAAATAATTACTGTTTACATTGCCCTTGCTGTTTTTAATGTAAAAGAACTTTATGTGAAGAGAAAGCATAATACAGAGGGAGTGAGATACTATATATATAGATAGATGAGAGGGAGAGAAAAAAGAAGAAGGAGGGAGAACATTTATCTCTAAGTACTGAAATCTAACCAAATGTTCTGACTAAGTTTATCCTACAAAATTTCATTGCTGATCATTTTCAGTCATTCAAGATAATCCCCCATTTCATGTCTCCTACCATCTCTTTTCCTATACAGAGAAGAAAAGAAGACTTCCATTTAGGGAGTAAATATAATGATGAAGTCTCCAGGTAGGGAAACACGTAACTTCATCTCTTATCTTGGTTGGAACTCAGCCCCTAGATCATCACAGCCCTTAGTATCTCAGCCAGATCTATTATCAAGCCCATATTTATGAGTCTCCCCTGCAACCTCAACAGTGAAGTCTCCCCTTTGTCCCCACTGTGCCCCTGAATCATAACTCAGGACCCCCATTATTTCTCACGCAGCCTGAAGCAACTTCTAGACCATTTTCAAGGCATACAAAAATCAAAGGAAAATTCAGAAGGGCTCACTCAGATCTTCTGCATGTTCAGTCTTGTCATGCTCTTATGGTCACCCTCCTGTGACCAACCTATGTCAGGGTAAAAACATCCCCATAGGGTATATTGCTTCCAGGATTCCCAATAAGAAGTTTAAAAAATTCTTCCTTTTCTATTGGCTTTTTCCTTAATCAATATACCTCTAATCCAAGATTTCAACCCAGAAAAGGAACTGAGAAAAATCTATATCTACTAAAATCTATTCATGTTACTAACCTTCCTCATTTCCACACCATACCAACAAGCTGGACAGGCCAGTCAGGGCTCAGGGATACTTCTTTTAGTGTGGTAGCCTTCAGCGTCCAAAAGTACAGAGATCAGAGAGGCAATACCTTGACTACTATGAGGAAACTTAATAAATGATTCTAGCTACACCATACAAAGGCACATCTATCCTTTGGTGTAATTTGTTTGTTGGTTCATTTTTGTTTTTGTGCTGCTACTGGAGTTTGAACTTAAGGCCTAGGGTGTTGTCCCTGAGCTTTGTTGCTTACAGCTAGCACTCTACCACTTGAGCCACAGTTCCATGTCCAGCTTTTTGATGATTAATTGAAGATAAAACCTCACGGACTCTTCCGCCCAAGCTGACCTCAAGCTGCGATCCTCCGATCTCAGCCTCCTACATAGCTAGCGTTACAGGCGTGAGTTTGTAATTGGCACCTGGCTTCCATTCCCTCCCCCACACACCCCAGGGTATAATCTTTAAGACACTGAAAGACCACAGACATGATTACCTCCATATTATGTAGAGAAAAAAATATCTCTCTTACCCTGTCCTTGCCCAAATTATGATCCTATTCCATTAATAAGTACAGCATCTTCAAAAGATAACACAGTATCATCTGGTGATTGATAAAGAGTCTTGAGGTATAGACAGGTGGTGCAGAAAGGTAATATCTCAGGTGAAGGATGGAGACTGAGCTGTAGAGCAGGGTGAAGGTGGTAGCGGTGCAGGAGGAGGCAAGCGTCAGCAGAGGGGCAGGGGGCAAACAGCAGTCACCTCGGTAGGTGCGATGGTTATACAGTCTAGTATCAGCAAACCCAGTCACAAAGTGGCATAGAAGTCAGTTTTAGAGGTGGAAGGAACATGGAGGCCCCAGAGCTGATCCTTTAAACTGTTGTGGGAAAAGGTATCTTTACAGTAGCTGCTAAGGCATCATCAAGGAACTTGGGTAGAGTACCCAGCAGAAGGAAAGGATTTACCTATAACTGTGACCTCAGATTTTACACTTTCAGGAACTTCATGAGCAGCACCAAAATCTGTCCACATACAGGAAAAATAGTCCATGATAGTGGGGATCAAGTAGGAAAAAAAATTCCCAAAACTTTAGTGTAAAACTGGAAAAGAAAAAAAAAGAAACAGACAGGAGATCTGGACTGGGTACAATCAGAAACAGGCCTATGAGCTGGAAAATTGCTATCTATCTAGTGTTACTCTCTTCTCTAATTTAGGAAAGAAAAAAAAAAGCCCTCCAAGACTCTTCTGTTTAGCTCTTCTTCTCCTTCTCCTTGTTAATTGTTACTAACCATTAGGGGACCTGAGCCTCCTCCACTTTATCCAAAACATCTCCAAATATTCCCCGGCAGATCTAGTGAGGTTTTCTCAAGTGCAGTTGACTAAGTCCTCCAAACTACAAAGGGTATCTGCCATTCATTCTTTCTCCCTTTGACCTGTTCTTGTCAGTTAAACCTGACAGTTAAACCTCATGAAGAATCCTCTGGACTCCCTGAGGAAATTTCTCCTATCCATCAGGTGCTCCCTAGACCAATACTCCAGGAACATCCGGCCACTTGAATGAAAAAGGGGTCCTTACAGCCATTTTAATTCAGGGACATTTCCCACAAACTGGGTCTTAGACTTCCCAAATCTACTGGAGCTTGGGCACTTGCTTTTTTTTTTTTTCCATTTCTGCTTTTGGTCCTTCTTTCCTGAGGTCTCTAGAGGCTTCCAGAAGTCCAGAGCTCCAGTTAGACATAACACTTCTCTTGCCATTCTGCCAACACTTTCTTACTCTGAATCCTGCTGTTTCTCACTTCAGCCTCTCCATCCTCTTCTTCTGTTCTGTAGTCAGTGGCTCTCTCTGTCACAGCTCTTTTTTACACTTGGAAGCTTTTCTTCCATCTATTTATTTACTCATCCCAATAGGAAATCTGGAAATAGAAAGAGCTGGTCTAGTATTTAGGGTTATGTCTAATGATATTTCTAGGGTTTGAAAGACAACAGGAAAGGAAGGTCTTCCCAGTATCCTTCCATGTGCCTGCTTAGATACATGTGTATTGTTTGAGAAATATGATATACTTCTTTCGCAGTGATTTACATTTGCTGTTAATCATCAAAGGGATCAGGAAAACTTTTGGAATGCCTCCTGATGAACCAGGAAGCTGCATTTCCCTTCAATCACAACTCCTAAAGGCTCAGATTGCAATTTACACTCATCAGGATGCTAAGCATTTGGACAGATGCCTTCTCTTTGTCACCAGAGCCCTCAATTCAAGGGCAGAGATCAGCAAGACAGTCTATGACTCCCTGGAATGAGTATTGTACTGGATCAGCCAGAGGTCACCAAAATATATACATGGGTTCCCAAGAAGAATCAACTGTATTTCCTATTTTTAGTGGCAGGAGCAGGTCCTTCCCCAAACAGTGAGGTCCAAAGTTCTAAGCGTGCTTATGCAGTGTAGGGTTGCATCCATCCTCTCTGAGTAGCCATCTTCTGTTCTATCAACATGGCTGGCAACGTCCCTTCTTTGTACTGACCTTCAGGTCTAGGACTTTTGACTTGTAAATTTGCAACTCTATGAATTTGCAACTCATATGAATTTGTATAGTATCACCACAAATGAGCAATGAGAAGTCTGATGTGGCAGTACTGGAATATTCCTCCTGGTAATGGGTCATACAAGTTTACATTCTGTATTTTAAAAGAGATGATGTCATATCTTGAATTTCACAGCAAAATTACCATAGATGACTGAATGTACTGCTGTCTCTCACAACCTTGATTTATCCCAGTGTTGGAGACAATTTATAGGCATATAAAGAATAGAAAAGATCACATGAACTGCTTTAACAATCGGTATTTTAGGCATCACAGGGTAAGCATATTTTTATTAACAAAACAGATACTATACCTGGCAAATTCATGGTGGCTTTAAAGTGACACAAAGTGTTTTGTTTTTCTTTTAATAAAAGGAAAAAGAATAAATGAGCAACAGCCAGTAGCCACACTAAATTGTTACCAGATGTGTTACAGTTAGGCATAAAAGGTAAGCAATCTTTTAGAATCAGGCATCTTACTTGAATTATGGTAGGTGCATGTTTCAAAAGGCAGACAAAGTCTTACTGATCTTTCCCAGTAATTCAAAACATTTTATAAATATGGGTGAGTGTTGGAAATTTTTGGAATTAAAAAAGTATCTAGGTTGTTTTGTTTGGAGCAGGTATATTTATTTATGCAATAATTAATTTTTATAGTTATATTATCTTTAAGTAGTTGTATAAAGGAATTTCCATTCAACAAAGCAGTTTATGAATACAATGCATTTTAATGTCACCCCTTTCAACATTCTTACTTATTGCTCTCAACCCACGCTTTCCCTCACTTTTCTTAATTTTGTTGGATTTTTTTTTACTACAAATCTAGTATTGATGTAAAATATTTGTTTAGTATTTGGCTCCTTCTCTGTCCCCTGACCACCCACTGCCGGAAGGAAGGCAGGAAGGCAGGAAGGAAGGGAAGAAGGGAGGGAGGGGAGGGGAGAGGAGGGGAGGGGAACGGGGAGGGAATAAAAAGAGAAAGAAAACTAGACATTAGACATTGTGGCTCATGCCTGTGATTCTAGCTACTCAGGAGATAGAATAAGTTGGATTGCAGTTCAAGACCAGCCTAGGAAAAAAAATAAATGAGAGTCCCATCCCAACCAACAAGCTGGGCTTTGTGGTTCACATCTGTGATCTCTGATACACAGGAAGCATAGGTGGGAAGATCACAATGCGAGGCTGGCCCTAACAAGAGAAAAAAAAACAAAAGCAAAAATTGGCTGAGGTGTAGGTGAGAGTCAAGAGATCTACTCTAGTGAGCATGAGGCCCTGAGATCAAACTCCAGTACTGCCAACAATTAGAAACAGGAAGAGAAGGACAAGGAGGAAGTGGAGGAGGAACTAAGGTGGGAGAACAGGTGGAAGATAAGTAAGAGGAGGAGAAAATGGAGGAGGAGGAAGAAGGAGGAGTAGAAAAAGGAGGCGGGAGGAGGAAAAACTAGATTTCCTCTAAGAAACACAAATCTAATGAAGGAGAGTATATTCTGGCTCTCTTAGTATAAATCTAGAAATTACCATTCATTAGCTTCACTTATCTTCATGTATTTGCCCTTGAAATAAAGTCTAAGTAGTTCATTTCTTCTGAGGCACTGTGGCTGGATTCTCTTTGGCACTGATTCATCCTCATGATGTTGAATTCTCCTTTTGCATCTTTTTACATATGTGGAAAGATAAGTTCCATCTGTGGCACTAGATCTCTCATTTCAGCTGCTATTAGAATCTGCCTTTACTCCTTCAAATTGCAGACTTTGTCCAGAACTTCCTAATATCTCCTTCTATCTGTTCTTCCTGCACAAGGGGAGATTTGCCCAGAGGTCTGGTCTATGTACATGCCAATGTTCCCAGAAATCCACAGTGATATAGAGCTCCATTTATCCCATGGCATTATCTGTTGTTCATTCTGATTGGCTAAGGAATCCTTGTAGGTCTCTCCCCAATTCAATCATAATTTAAATTCTTATTTCAAGTTACATTTTTCCATTTAGCATTATTATTATCTCTTAGATGCTTAAAATGATAGTCCTAAAGACTAACCTCCCTATTTTAACAAAAGAGAGAGAACTTCCTAGATTTTTTTTCAGAATATAAATAGGTATTAGGTTAGCTATTGTCCAATGACTCCTCTGGTGGTTGGATTATTGCAAATCTTGGACTTACCCTGATATCTAATTTACAGTCACACTTGAATGTGTGATTTCTTATATCTGAATGTACTTCGGGTTATCACAAATGAATGGGCTTCTGTCCTTACGCAGAAGAGGAACTAAACTTTTGAGCTAATTATTGGGTAAAATCATGATTTGTATTGAAAGTGTTTTTAAGTCCACTGTGGATTGCAGAATAGCTCTGAATAATTCAAATTCAATAGGAACCAGCGTTAAAAAAGACTCAAGATTACTTGTGTAATCAGTATATTGAGCAATTGAAACTTGACAAGTACACATAGGAAACAGTGTTATTTTTCTCCAACCATGAGGACTAAGGATAGCTTTTTAGAATCTTATTCCCTAGGGGATCAAATCCATGCAAGCTCTTAAGCACATTTTATAATTTTCAGGTAAAGTTTAAAGGCTGAAAATCACAAACTAATCTATTTTAAAGCTCTTATCTCCAATCCAGTTTAAACATCACTTCTTTGCTCTGCCCAATGCCAGCCAATCTGTCATCCAAGAGAATTAAATGTGGTCCGCTGCTATTGCTCTCCCTCTCCTTCCTTCTACTTTTCTGGCACATGGAAAGAGAAGAGGATTTATAGGGAAGAGGGAATATGTCTTTTCCTGAACAAAAAATGTTTTAGTTATTTCTCTATTGGTTATTAACACTAACACTAATAATGTTAGTGATTATGAAGTATATCCTGAATGCTAGATCAATATGCGTGCATATTCTCATAATTTGATTGGAAATATAGTTTCATTATCTTCATTTTACTTATGAGAAAATTAAAGCTCAGAAAGTTATGTTCAAGGTTACTTAGCAAATAAATGTCAGAGCCAGGATTACAACCTAGAAGGTGCAGTGCAGTACCCAAGGCTTGTAATGCTGTGGTGAGATATGACTATTTTTGTTCTGATGACCTTCTAAGGGTCATATGAGTCTTGGGGAAGTGTCCTTTATAGGCCAATACATCACATGCTACCTTTATATGAAAGATTCTGCATAATCCCCAGTTCTTCATCTCAGTCTCCACAGGGGCAACCTATTGTTTCTTGTTATTATCATCCTTTTATTTGGTGGCCAGCCTTCTTGGTACCCTAATTCCTTTCTATAGTGTCCACTGGTCTCAGAGTAAAAGCAGCATCCCTGCTGTTGAAGTGGTGGCAAACACTCCAGTGGGTCCTTCTTTTCTTCCCTCAGGCCCAGATGGTTGTGATTCTTTCTAGAAAGTAACTTCTAGTTGCCTCTAGAAAGCAATAGACTTTAAAGACTTCAAGGCTTACATACAGTTGAAAAGAGTCGACTATACATTTTATGCTTATATACCCACAAAAACCATTCAAGATTAGATTTGGAAAAAATATTTCATTTCCTTATCTCTTATTTTTACTGGGATTCTCTCCTAACTTCACTTGAAGGCTGAGATCCAAAGCTGTTGATCTGAGTACAGGCTCTCCTCAACAGAACAAAGAATGGGAAGATTGATCTTTCTGAATATCTAGTTGTATGCCGATGTTTATGTATAAGTTTATATAGTTTCTAAAACAATTAACCTTAGATATTGGGAGATTTTTACCAGTTAACAACCAGTAAGAAAATTTAAAGAAGTATATTGGGATACATACTGTGAATGTCTGGATTGGAGATACCAGCATTTTGATGGAATAAATACCATGCATTTATAGTAGACTAGTTCAACCAAAGTCAACGCACTTAAAACCAGTTTACATAAATTCTATTTGCCTAATTTGATAGCTCCATGACTACTATTCCAAACGTTTTCTAAATATTATCATAGACTATTTCTGGCTTATTTTTATACTAGTAATAATTATATTAGAGTTTGTTAGATATCATTGTCTTTTTTATTTTACTTAATTTTGAAATCTTTCAGAATTCATTAGCCAATTTGCCAAAAATGTGTGTTTCTTGACATTTTTGCAAAAAGAAAAATTTGGTTGTTTTTAAATAAATAAAGGCAGAAAGTTCACATGACCCTGGAGTTACAAAAATCATGTATTTTTCCCTGGACATATAAAGGAAATAATCAGGAATACAAATTCATTATATTTCAAGGAGATGACTTCTCCAAGAAATTCATTGTAATATCCTTAAAAATGTCAAAAGAATAGCAGCTAAATTGAGCTAAAATTTTCATGGTTTAGATGAAAACTTAGGTCTTGACACTTAGAGAAATTCTAATGCAGCAATTGGTGTTACCTAGAGCATATATGCCTTACTTTTACCTCTGTCATGAGAAAAAGCCATAGTCTCCACTGAGCCCTGAGTTTTTACTTCTGTGGGCACAAGTGGCTTCTGAATTTGCAGAGACCATTACAAAATAAAAATTCTCAAGGCACTTAAGTGTTTCAAGACTAACAGCAGAACATTAGAGCAACCACAAGGCCTTGTGTGACTCAATGCCTAAGCTACACATCCATAAAGCCAGCCCGGTCTAGAGGGAAAACAGTTCCTAACCTCTCCTCTACCTACTTCCCTCTTGAGAGAGGTCTCAGCCATGTTTTAGCTTCTTAAAGGCAAAGTTTCCTGATGGCTAATCAGGGAACTTCTGAGTTGAGACACTATTTTAGGCGATGATGGCCAAGATTCCCTTGTTTGAAAACTGCCTGCCCATATAGTATCGGGATTCCTGGTGGAAGCAGAGAGCATTACAGAATATTGGACATTAGTTCTGTCAAAGCTTTCTTTCCAATCACAAGATGCAAATGTATTAACTTTCTTTTTAATTTTTTCCCCTTCTGTTTTCAAACTGATTTCCTCTGGGAATGTCCTTTCCTGTTCATAGAATGGAGGTAAGAAGCTATCTTTAGTCCAGTGTTTTGTGTATGTGTTTCTACTTAACTCATCATTAATTGTCTGCTACTTGTAACCTTTGTAACCATTGTAACCTTTTGGGAAGTTTCTGATGTCTAAGCCTTCAATACTCTTACAAGGTAATGATGATATTGAAGATAGGTAGTACTACTGAACTTTACTGGCTATCAGGCACTGTGGTAAGAGCTTTACAAAGATTATTTAAATATGTCCTCATCACAGCATTATGAAATAGGGGCCATGATCATCAATATTTTTTTTAACTAAGGCTACTGGAGAGTTACACAACTAGTAAATAATGCTGTTGGTAATAGAATCCAGGACCAACTTCAAAACCCTCCTTCACAGCTTTTTCTAGCAGATAAGATAGAGTACCATCTTGTAATATTAGGTAAACTGTAGTGTTGAACATGCAGTTCTAATCAAAATTGACTATCATAAAAACTCTATGAAGTGTGCCAGAATTTCCAACTAATTTTACAACTGAATCAAATCAGAACAACTAATAATTATAATTATGATGATGACAATTGCAATTAAGGTTCATGGTACCTTTTATTTTTTAACTATGGTCCTGGGTGCTATCTCTGAACTCCTGCTCAAGGCTAGAGCTCTACCACTTGAGCCACAGTGCCACTTCCAGCTTTTTCTGCAATTTACTGGAGATAAGAGTGAACCACAATCAGATCTCAGCCTCCTGAGCCTAGGATTATGGTGTGGGCCACCAGTGCTCAACTTCATGGTACTTTTATGAGCACCATTTTTCTTATTTTGACATTTCAGTGTCAAACAATTCCCATTCCCATTTTTCACAGGAGGGACTGGATGCACCAAGAATTGCCCACACCACATAGATAGGCAACCCACAAACCTATACCTGAGCTCAGGTACAGAGACTCCAGAACTCAGATCTGTAACTACTGCTCTCAGCCATCTACCATAGAAAATGAGCAAGTGTACAACTCCAGCCACTGATTTGAGTTCTATGGAATAAAATAATTTATTATATAACAAAGTTTGATTTGTTCTAAATCTTGTTCCAACTCATACAGCTTTGATGCATTTATTTACTCTAAAAAGTTACTAACTTATGCTTTAAGAGACAAAGTACTGACTCCTAAGAATTCCACACTGAATCTGAAGAACCATGTGGCCTGACCATGGTAAAAGTTGAAATACAATGTTGGCCATTTGATAGTGAGTGCCATAGGTGAGTACTTTTAGTACTCTTGCATGGGACTCACTGTGCAGTTTTAAACTAATTATTCTAATCCTGACACTCTATTAGAAATGGAGACACAAAACCAGCTTGTCTTTCCTATACCTGAGGAATTGATATTTTACTAGAGCACACACACAGATTAATTACAAAACAACATAATAATAGAAACATACAAATTCCAGTGAACAGACATAGATCATCTACATGCAAGTAAACTCAAGCAAGGAAGTTAAAACTCCTATTAGTCACTAAATAAATGCTAATTAAAGAATAGTCTCATGTAAGGAATAGTGGTGAATGCCTGCAATTTCAGCACTTGGGAGGCTGAGGAGAAGTCTAGCCTTGGTTACATAAAAAGTCGGAGGCCAGGCTGGGTTATGTAGCAAAACCTGTCTCAAAAGTGAAACAAAGGGGCTGGGAAGATGGCTCAGTGGTAGAGTGCTTGCCTTGCATGCATGAGGCCCTTGGTTCAATTCCTCAGCACCACATAAGCAGAAAAAAGCTGGAAGTGGTGCTGTGGCTCAAGTGGTAGAACATTAGCCTTGAGCTAAAGAGCTGAGGGATAGCACCCAGGCCCAGAGTTCAGGCCCTGTGACCAACAAAAAAAAAAAAAAAAAGGAAAAAAAAGTGAAACAAAGCAATTTTTGTTCCATTTTCTTTTTACTTGCAATTAACATGCACTCTCAAACTCTGCTAGTAAAAAGAATATTGCTACAACTTCTTCAATTTTGAGTTGGCTACTTTTATGAACCATAAAATGGTTATATTAATTACTGAATAAATCCACTTTTAGTAAGATATCCTACAGGAACAAAAGTATGAATAACTATTTTAAGTCACCTTATACTTATTGATATAATGTATAAACAATACATAAGCTGATACAAGTGGTTAATAACAATGCTTCTGAAACATAACTAATGGCATAGGCAATACAAATATTATAATGTTAAGTAAATTTCTAGGTTACAAGAATGTATTGTGTATTTCAGAGTTTACTTTGCATGTTCACTGATTATATCTCCAAGTACACAAATATGCCTACATGAAATCCTAATATATTTGCTTACTATAATTTTGAAATTAAATTTTTTGTTTCTTCTCTGTACCACTTTTAATTTTACATAATAAGTGAGTATTAACTTTAGTCAGAAGAAATACATGTGGGTTTTCTGAAAACAAGGTCATGTCTTTCTTGCTGAGGACATTGCACCAGGCATTTTGAAAATGATATTTGATCTGAATTTTCAAGCAGAAGTTGGCAGAAATTTCCTGTAAAGGGCCAGGTATTTACTCAGGAAGGCAGACCTGATTTCCCCAGCTTCACTTTGCTGATGTAGCAAAGTGAAGTCCCACACACTGCACAGAAAGGTGGAAATGGTTCTGATCCAATAAATGTCACCTATGGGTGTGAAATCTGAATTCCATTTAGTTTTCATGTGTCATTCAATAATTTTATTTTTGAGTTTTTGCAGCCATTTAAAATGCAAATACCATTCTTAGCTCTCAGGAAAACACAAAGACACTTAAAATAAATACATATGTTTAAAATGAGATCTAAACTAGCTCAAAAGCAAGGAGTAGGAAAGTTCAGTTCAATAGTAGAAATGAGTTCAGGAGCTCTGTTTTACACGGTGGGGACTCCAGTTACTAACAACATATTATGCTCTTGAAAAGTCACTAGGAATAGGTTTTAAATGTTCCCACCACAAAAAAATGTATGTGAGAGAGCATATCTATGAATTAGTATAATTTAGCTGGTCCACAGTGTATGAATATTTCAAAACATCTTGTTGTATATGATAAATAATATGTATATAATATCTCTCAATTAAAGTTAAAAAGTTGAACATTTTACTCTTGACAAGACTTAAGAAATACTGTATATATACCCAGTCATGAAAATTAGTGTTGATCACGATTTAGATTATGGAAAAATTTAAACTAGCTTTGATTATGTGTGACCATGATTTGTCATAATTGACCAAATTTTAGTATTTAAACATTGTACCATAACTTATTAGTTCAATACTTAGTCTGAGTATTGCTAAAAGAATTTTTATCCATATACTGTATTTGTCCACCTCTGGCTTAGCAAATGGATCATGTACAGAGACACTAGGCATAAAAAAATATAGTTCCAGCTGTTTTGGAAGAAGCATCACAGAATCCTGACAATACCTTTGTTAGGAAAGTTCAAGGGCAAAGAAGGTAGCTACTAGGTAAGGGAGGATGTATCTATACCAGAAGAGTGGTGGGGCTATCAAATGTAATTCCACCAAACAGGAAGGAGATAATGTGTAGCCATACTAGAGTAGGGGGTTGTCGTAGCCCAAACAGGGCATGGCTGGTCATCTTGACAAACACTTGATGTGGTATTATGTGTTATCTTCATATGAACTGGAAGGTAGCACTGTAAAATGTTGAAGGTGATGCTTATATGTTGAAGAAAAGAGAAAGAGGGGTATGCAGTATAGTGAGAATCCTTACAGAGTTCATTTGACTGCATAGGTGTGGAAGGGGGTTATGAGACCAAGCAAAGATCCATTATTACTTTTACAGAAAGATGTAAGGTTTAGTTTGTCAGGAGGCAAAACAGAAACAAGCTCCTTGTACAATATTAACTAGAATTGTAAAGAGATCATCTTGGCAAGGTATTCCAGAATAATCAGCATTTTGATTCACAGGTCACTGACTCACTGGTCCAATGAGCAGTGAGACCAGCTGGTTCTAGGGTTGCCCCTGTAGCAGTCTTAAGAACTAAGGTAGAGAAACACATCTGGGCTGGTTGTGGAGAGATTGAAGGATGTGGAAAAGACCACAGGAAACACAAGTGAAAAGTGTGCGCTCATCTCATTCCCCAGTTGTTGCTAAGAGCTCCTTCTTAATTTTTTTAAATGATGAGTTCAAGAAACTGAGGGACAAAATGGCCCAATGTTCCTCCATTTCATGCATCTAACATTTAATTACCACATAAAATTTGAGGTTTGTAAGTCTCTGGAAAATAGGGGGGAAAATGAAGTAACTAAAACACTGAAACTAGATAGACAAAGATAGATTGATGATAGTAGATTAAAAAGTAATAAATAGGGCTGGGAAGGTGGCTCAGTGGTAGAGCGCTTGCCTTGCATGCCTGAGGCCCTGGGTTCAATTCCTCAGCACCACATAAGCAAAAAGCACTGTGGCTCAAGTGGTAGAGCGCTGGCCTTGAGCTGAAGAGCTGAGGGGCAGTGTCCAGGCCCAGAGATCAGGCCCCATGACTGGACCAAAAAAAATTTTTTTAAAGTAATAAATAGATAATTAGCATGCAGTTGTGTGGGGGGAAGGGAGAAGGAGAGGGAGAGGGGAGGAAAAGTGCTGTGTATGTTAGTTTCTATATATCTACCCATATGTTTGAATTGTGAAGCTAATTCAAGCAGATACGTTGCCCCAAGTCAAGTGCTCATGACCCCAGGAACAGCGCAAGATATATGGAAAACTAAGAGTGAATCATGTACTTTGTATCTATGGTTTTGTCCAATAGGCAAGAGCGTTTTACAAGATTGTGCTCTTTACCAAAATAATAGATCTAATTTTTATTCAAAATCTGTCGTGTTTTCCCTTTTTCTTTTTCACGTCTCCTTGGTGACTTAGCTAAATCTTAAAACTGATTGAGGATTCAATTTTATTTAGCCACCCTGAGGTTGTTCCAACCTTTCTTTTATTAATAGAAGAAACAGAAACTCAGAGAGACAGAGACTGATATTAATTACTTGGTAAGAGTCTTTTACTCTGAGGTTATCTTCATTAACTTTTCTTAAGAACTTTTCTTAGTTTTATTTTTTTTTACAAAGAAGCTGCATTTTGTTTCAATCATGAATATGTTTTTGGCATTTATGGAAAAATCATTTAGCAATTAGCACATGACATCAAAACCCAAAAGAATAATTGAGTGCAGAGACATGGAGAGAATATTTTGCTCTTACCCAATGTACTTGTCCTTTTAAGCCATATCCTTCCCCTATTTACCTTTCCTTTTTCTCAAGCTATTACATATTATCTTTCCATCCTAAGTTATTCTAAGAGAGGTCTTTAACTCTTTTTTCCTATTAGCACTACAGAATTTATGGTGTTTTCATCATATATTATCCATTGACAAACAATAATCTGAGTTTATTTATTTATTTTTTTGTCGGTCATGGGGCTTGAACTCTGGGCTTGGGCGCTGTCCCTCAGCTCTTCAGCTCAAGGTGAGCGCTCTACCACTTGAGCCACAGCGCCACTTCCAGTTTTCTGGTGGTTTATTGGAGATAAGAGCCTCACAGACTTTCCTACCCGGGCTGGCTTTGAACTGAGATCCTCAGATCTCAGCCTCCTCAGTAGCTAGGATTACAGGCATGAGCCACTGGCGCCCGGTTATTTTTTTTAATAATAAGTTTTTTTTTAATTGTGAAAATACCACACAGAGGGGTTACAATGACATGAGCAAGGTATGAGTACATTTCTTATCAAGCATTGTTGCCTCCTCCTTTGTTTCCCCCTTACCATCCCTGCCTTCCCATCTCACCCCCCAATCTAAGCTTAGAACAGTTGTTTACATCATTCTGTAGAGAAGGACCTTTCGGGCTCAATGACCTAGGGGCTTCCTCCAACACACAATGAGAACATAACAGAGCTGAAGATGCTGCTTAGCACCTCCTGAAGGCCATACCAAATCCATTCTCCTCCATCCATGTCTTTTTTCCTTAGTGAAATTCTAGGGAGATGTGTGAGTGAGAGAGGCCAGGTGTGGAAGGTATGATAAAGATGTAAGTTCTCTACAAGTTAAGAATTTAACTACCACAACAAATAAACAATCTATCTTCTTAAAGCTGCAAGCATTTTGGATCAGATTACTCAGTATGCTCCATCATTTGTTAACCATCAAGATGATCATGTTTTGCTGATGTTTTTTTTCTCTTTGTAAGAAGCATATGAACTGACTCAACTAAGTGCAGAACAATTTTATCTAGAAGTCAAATAACAAAAATACCTAATCTATTTAGCCCATGACTGTTTTTAAAGCTTCTTATACCCTTTAGCACATTTGGCCTACATAAAAGCATGTGGAGGTAGATAAAGATGGTATAATTACAGCTGGAAATAAAGATAATCTTCAAATGGAATGTTCCTACCAATTTGCTAGTACACAGAACCAGCTTGGTTCTGTGATGCAGATGTAAGAATAGAAAAAGAAATATAGGATGCATGCCAAGGAATAATAGCACATGAGTGAGAATGTTGACTGTTGCTTCTTTCAGTAAACCACAGAAAGATAACAAAGGCTACTGTACCCAGTACAGAGGGGAGGTGTGCGACACAGTCCTGGCAAAAGATGCTTTTGTGTTTTTCAACACCTCCTACGCGGACCCAGAGGAAGTCCAAGAGCTACTGGTCCACACTGCCTGGAATGAACTGAAGGCAGTGAGCCCGTTCTGCCGGCCAGCTGCTGAGGCTTTGCTGTGCAACCATGTCTTCCAAGAGTGCATCCCTGGAGTGGTCCCTACTCCCAGCCCCATTTGCAGGTAAAGCTTTCTATAGTAGTAAAAGATAACATTCCATTGTCCTGACTGCAAATCAGAAAAGTTTACAAAAATGTCCTTGTGAGCAGTAGTAAAGGCAAACAAACTCTGGCTTTAACCAAAAGAGGAAGGAATCTCTGTAATCACTGATGACAACCTACAACATCAAAAACTATTCTATTACTCGTGTTAGCATTGTTATCATAATCAAAATCCCTTACATCAATATCCCAGCTACGTACCAAATAGATATTCTGAACAAGCCTGGACTTCACTAATAGGCCAAGACAAAGAAAAATAAAGAGGACACCACAAGTTAGCATTATCATTATTTGTCAATAAATGGAGTCATGATGAACATTCAAAATACTATTATCAAGTTAAATGCATGCCACCTTATATTCTAAGTACTGACACTCTTTTCTCATTTGGGAAGGAAGTTACGAACAGATATTTAAAATTTCCATATCCCTTAGAAATTGAAATCCACACATTTATGTTCCTTAGAATTATTCTTTCCTTTATTTTTCTTCTTTTATGTAAAATAGAAGAATTGCCTTGGCTTTTGAATCCAGTAGAAGAAGCCAATTCTCCTTTCTAGATGTATTCATATATGTTTTGGCTTACATTTCAGTTTCTTCGTTAGTGCAACAGAGTTTAAAAGATTAAAGGATCAGTCACCTGCATGGGATACATAGATAGCCTTTCCTAAATGTTTTTTAAGAAAACACACAACACAGCACATTTCCACTAGTGGTAGTTTTTTGTTTATGTTTTTGTTTTTGCCAGTCCTGAGCCTTGAACTCAGGGCCTGGACACTGCCCTTGAGTTTTTCTGCTCTTTACCACTTCAGTACTTTACCACTTCAGCCACAGCCTACTTCCAACTTTTGGTAGCTATCTAAAGATAAGAGTCTCATTGATTTGCCTGCTTTTCAAAGCTAGCTTTGAACCTTGATCCTCAGATCTCAGCCTCCTGAATAGTTAGGATTACAGAAGTGAGCCACTGGTACCCAACTCCATGTCTGTTTTGATAAAAAACTAAGAACTATTTTAAATTTATCTGATGTTAAGGCACTTTAGAAAAAGATAACAATAAGGTCATTAAATAGACATTACAAAGTTTGAGGGTTATTGGCATTGTAGGAATAATAGAATTTTTATCATCTAAGAAGATTGTATTGCAATCAGGCTTGGCATCTAAAACTTTCTGGTGTTGAGAAAATTCTCTCATTAATAACAGGGACAAAAGGGAGAAGCTAGACTTATGGCTAAAAAGAAAATGAGAAAAGGCAGGTGAGAAGTAAAAATTGTCTTACTAAAAGTTAGGAAATACAGATAGTTTCAAACATTCTTGCAGTTATTTGAAGAAATAATGCCTCTGTTGAATACTATATTTTTTAGTTAGGATTTCTGTTTCTTGGTCTTCTTCATAGGATCATCAAAACTGTAAATTGGAGATGCTGGTCAATAGTTAAATCCTTTAACTGGAAAGTAGCACATTTGTAATAAATAAAACAGTATAAGCAGCAAAGGAATGTTACAGTAGATTCTGTCAGCCTTCTCCTGAGCACTAGTAACTTAATTTGTGGTGACCACTAGGATAATATCTTGTTCACACCATTGATACAGTTTAACACTGTGGACTAAGCTTAAAACAAATAACAATTAGATTAAAAATACGTTTCTCTCTTATAATAGTCATTGTGTTCTTTTTTTTTAATTTTATTTTATTTTATTTGTGAACATACTGTACAGAGGGGTTACAATTGCATGGGCAAGATAATGCGTACATTTCTTACCAAGCATTGCAGCCTCCTCCTTTGTTTACCCTTCCCAGCCTCCCCCCCCCCCCCCATCCCAATCCTTCTCCTTCCCCCCCCCCACCGACGTTGTAAAGCTCGTTTTGGACATGTCATTGTGTTCTTTTTAAATTACAAAACCACATGACCCCATAAAAAACATATAAGAGGAGGAGTTGTGGCTCACGTGGTAGAATGCTTACCTCATAAGCATAAGGTTTGGATTCAAACCCCAATGCCATAAAAAAAAGAAGACATAAAGAGAAAAAGAAAGATCTTAATATACTTGGCAATGTAAAACAAAATTTAACTTTTTTCTTCTCTTTATAATCTTTTCCCATTTTCCCACTAGAGTGCTCAATCATTTCTAATAAAATTGGAAGAAATAATCACTTGAGTATTTTGACTCACTTTTCATAATGCAAAATAAATCTGTGATTTCTTTTAAAATTATGGACTTGTTCATATCTGTGCAAAAGCAGAGATCATAGTACAATGAATGGAAATATAATTAACACTCAACTGAAAAAGTTAGGTGTGATGGCTCATGTCTGTCATCCCACCTACAGGACATAAAAAGGTGGGTCATGGTCTAGGCTAGCCAGGGCAAAAAGTGGGATCCTATATCAAATCAAAACCAGACCAAAGGAACTGGAGCCATAGCTCAAGTGGCAAAATTTAAGCTCCAGTGCAAATTTGCCTTTCAGATGTCATGATTCATCATTAAGTTTTGTTCTACATTCAATACTTTAGGGAATACTGCTTAGCAGTAAAGGAGCTCTTCTGTGCAAAAGAATGGCTTTTGATGGAAGAAAAGAGCCACCGAGGACCCCCTGGATCTGGGACACACCTCCTCTCCATGCTAGACTGCAGTAAGCTTCCCAGCATGCACTGGGATCCCATGGCGTGCACCAGGCTGCCATATTTAGGTAACAATGTGTTTCCCCCAATTTTGAAAATTAAGAGAAATTTACTATGTTTAATAAATAATGATGAACTTAAGGTTTCTGATACTTTGGGCTTTACTAAATGTTGTTTTGCTTTGTTTTTCTTTCATACCTAATAACAAAATTTTAATGCTATACTAAGGGCACAGGTTAGCATGAAGACATATTCTATTTGTTCTAAAGTAAATTTGCAGGTATTTTTAACTGCTGCTTGGATGTCATCTTAGTTCATAGGGGACTTTTTAGCTTATAATATTTTCTGGAATGCGCAGAAAAGTGGCTAAGAAACGCCTCTAGTTTGTCTTAAGAGTAGGATAAAGGAATAAAGTTGTCTTTTGCAGCCAGTCAAGCAGCTTTTATGCATGAACAAATAAAGCATATTTTTGCAAATGCTGAGCTACAAAACAGAACAGAACTGCTGCATGTTGCTTTAATGTGCTTCCTCTGTAAGGAACAATGTTGTCAGCCTTAACCGCTGGTTTAATTTCAAAAACACAATTTTCATATTTGAATGCAAACAATGTTTTCCAACTATCTCTTAAGAAGCTGAAAGAGAAGTCACATTTCTTACACTCTCACTGAATTCACAAGGTATCCATATGCTCACTTAAAACAAATTTTTATCCTTTCCCCTTTAGATTATAAAAAAGAAAACCTAACAAGTAAGTAATTCTGTTTGTGCCTTTGAAAACTTATGTGTATGTATTGAATTTATGCATGCATATTTACACTCATACTTTATGACAGTCAGAACAGAATACTTAGCGCCTCTCTGCCTCTCAAAGAGGTTATTTCCACCATACTCACTGAAAGTAGAGCATGAAGGAATCTTACATCTTCTGTTTAGGTCATGAAAAATACTCATCCCAATAAAAGATATGAGAATATCCTCAACCTCAAGTTTCTTAGCTATTCTATGTCTCATATGCCTATAAAACAAGCCAACTGCAAAATGTTGCCTTCTGATTTTGCATTTATGATTTTGTGTTATTTAATGACATACAGATGTAGACAAATACTCATTTCTTCAGTGAGCTAATTCATGATCTTTATTTGGACAAATTATTTTTGGGAGATAGGTACTCTGAATTTTGACAGAGTGAGTTCTTAATATTGATTGTTGAGTATTTTTATAATAATTCCATGGTTTTTTCTAGATAACACAAAAAATTAACAAGAAGAAAACTCAAATATAATCCCACTTTTTCAAAAAATGTTTCCTACTTCTAGAATTAGTCATACTAATTTTTTTTTTTGGTCCTGTTCCTGAGCTTGAATTCAGGGCCTGGGCACTATTGCTGAGATTTTTGAACAAGGTTAGCACTTTACCACTTAATCACAGCTCCATTTCCACTTGTGTGTGTGTGTGTGTGTGTGTGTGTGTGTGTGTGTGTGTGTGTGTGTGTGGTTAATTAAAGAGTCTCACATACAGTCCTGCCCGGGCAGGCTTCAAGTCATAATCATCAGATCTCAGCCTCCTAAGTAGCTAGAATTACAGGCATGAGCCACCAGCACCCAGGTAGCCATAGTATTAACAAGTAGGAATTTTTTAATGAGATATCATTTTTCTGTAACATACTAGCTGTTAAATTGAATGAGTTTCCATTTCAGCTTTTCTGTCTTTCTTTTCTTCCTTCCTTCTTTCTGTCTTTCTTCCTTTCTCTCTCTCTCTCTCTCTCTTGCTTTCTTTCTGCTTTTTTATTTTTTTGCAGTGCTGGGATTCAAACCTAGGCCTTGAAATATGAACTCAGGGTCTCATGCTTGCTAACAGGTACTCCTGAGGCATCCATTGAGCCACCACTCCATTTCCTTTTTGTGCGTTACTTATAAAGTACAGGCTCTATTTATGCCTAGGCTAGGCTGGATTGTGATCCACCTTTCTAAGCTTCCCTTTTTCTCTGGGATGGCAAGTGCTTACTATTACATCATTGTGCTTTCTCCACACCTGAAGATTAACAGGCATATTCCACCACACCCAGCCATTGGCTGAGATAAAGTCTCATGAACTTTTATGATCAGGATGGGCTCAAACTATGATCCCCAGATTTCCACCTTTCAAGTAGTAGCTAGGATTATAGATTGAGCCACTAGGCCAGGCCAGACCCTAGTGAGAGAGAGAAAGAGAGAGAGACTCCCTTTATCACTCAGGCTAGCCTAGAATTCACTGTGAAGCCCAAACTGGGCTTGAATTCATGATTATGCTGCTTCTGCTTCCTAAATCTTGGGATTACATATATACGCCACCATGCCTGGCTCCATGTAGCTCTTCACATAGTCTACACATTGAAATCAACTGGAAAGCTTTAAAAGTATGGTTTCCTGAGTCACACATATATTCTGATGAATCTGGTCTGAGGTACAACTTGGAATTGAGGGGTTTAGTTTTTGAGCACAAGGACTAAAATTCCATAGTTTCGAGATTTGAAGCTTCTTTGTCTTTAGGATCATGTAATGCCTTTGTCCTATTTATATTAGAAATGCAAAATCGGCTAAGTGCTCTGTTTGTCTCTTCTGTGGGATTTCACATATTTTACAGAAGCACTCAGCCCTGAATCATCTTCTGTTTCAAAGACTCAGTGGCAAAAGAACTATAATCTGGCTTGTTCTTGTAATGATTTGCTTTTTTCTCTGATTCTTTCTTCTCTTTCATCTTTATTCTCCCCACATGTACATGGGGAGTTAATAACTAGGCTTGGCAAACCCATCACTGTGCTAGGTTAATTACCTCTCCTAGTATACCCAACCATCCCTATGAAATGAAGTACTATGAATGTAATCCATTCTACATATTTCTCTATATGAGAAAGGCAAACTTGCCCAAATTGACTCCTTTGGTATGAGAATGAGCCAGGGTTTGAACTCAAATATTTCTGATTCTGGCTCTGTCTTCAGAGCCTAGGTTTGTACCTGCTACTCTTGGCTTTTCTTCCCTATCAATTTTCTTCCCCAGGACCTCCAGTATAATAAAGCTTATCTGATTGTTTAACTGATTCCTTCTTGAATAGCTGTCACTACCTTTTCACATTCTATTGTAATTGATGACTTCTAAGGAGATTCACTTACTTCATTTTCTCCATTTATTGCTGATCAATGTTTGTATCACTTAGATTGGCATGCAAGACCTTTTGTGACCTGAACCTTGTATTTGTAGCCTGTAGATACACCCTAACTCAAACGATGAAATTGTTAGGTGTTGTTAGCTTGGTTGAATCCATCTTCACACTATTTCTTTGGTGTAGACACCATCTCCCCATCCTGAATCTATCCCACTCCCTAGCACCATCATCCATTTAACCCCTTACATATAATACTTTCATCTCAGACTGTGCTGGATACTCTACCAAAATACCATAGAGCAGGTGGCTTATAAACAACTGTAATTCATTTCTCACAGTTCTGGAGACCGGATAGCCAAGATCAAGGCACTGGAAAGGTTAGTGTCAGGTGAAGGCCACAGACACAGATGTCACAGACATAGCTGTGACCATAGCTGTCTTCTCACTTCCACCTCACCCTGCACAAGGGGAGAAGAATTGTCTAGGTCCACATTTATAAGTGGATGAATCCCACCAGTGAGGACTTTTCTTCCTTTCAACACACAACTTTTCAAGGGACACAACATTTAGACAATAGCACCTTTCATCTGGTTATTACTTGCTCATTCCTTACAACTTAAATTTACTTTAGAAAACCTACCCTGTATGCCTAAATCTGATTGGATACTGCGTCGTGTGTTCATGAGCATCCTGTTCTCACTACTCTTATAATGAACTCCTACATTTTATTGAAATGATCTATTTGAACCTTTTTTCCCATCACAAAGACTTGGCACCACCATCACAGTATTTCTGACACCTTACTAACAATACCAATTTAATGAATGCATTAAGTTGTGGGCAAATGACTGAATATACTTCCTCAGTGTTTGGAGGGAAAAAAATAAAGAGATAACATGAATCAGAGAAGAGAAAGATACAAAGGAAAAGAAAAATGGTAAAAAGCCAAGTGAACAGAAATCCAAACTAATTGTTTAGACCCAAAGAAATAAGTAGCACAGTGCTGGGGAAGACCAGAGCAAACAGATCTGAAGTAATTATTTTATTTAAGAAATAACAGCAAAACTATTCTAAAAGGATCAAGTATTTAAATCTATACAGACAGCAAGTTGTTTTCAAAGCATGTCACATTTAAAAAATGAATCTTAGGATTGGGAAAGTCACTTAAGTGCTAGAGCCTTTGCCTAAAAAAATAAACCTTACTGAGCCATCACAGATTTTTCTTTCAACATGTCATTAAAATGTACTTTGATGTTTTTGTGAAAACATATCCTTACACTTATAAAGGAGATTACACTGCTAACTTCACACATTACATTGCTTTCTCCCACATGCTACACATGGAAGGAACTGTTCTGTAAAATCCATGTAGAAAAAAAAATAGCGGTTTCTCTCTTTTAGTAGTTGCTCCCACTTTATTCTCAACAGGAAGCAAATTCACTCATTTAAGGCCCCACCCCTCCTATACTGAGAAATCTAGGGGTGACTCGGTCTAGAGAATCAGACCACTTCTGAGGCAATCCTAGCAGAACCCAGGATGTGTATGCTCTGGGCTAGATGAGGCCTCCTCCTATTGGTCCTGCACCAATGTTTTACTGCTGTGCTGATGCTCTTGGAATCCCCAGTGGCTGCCTGAGTCACAGCAGTGATCAAACTTGACCTCTACAGGCTTTAAAACCAGTTACTAATCCAATGGTGGGTAGGGCTTAATCCTGTGTCCACTCCTAGACTAAGAAGTTTTACCTAAGTATCCTAAATGTCTGCTGTCACAAGTGTCCTGTCCCAAATGGCTTCAGGCCTCTGCTGCAACAAAGTTTATCTTTTGACTTTGAAATATATTAATTCATCCCCAAATACTTAATCACTATTTTCTTACTATACCAAAGTCAACGGCTAAGTCTATGTTGCATAGTCTACATTGCCAGGTTATGTCATTAGTATTATTAACTTCTTAAAAGAACTTCAAAGTCATTTCCTCTTACTGGAACACCTTAAAACATGGAAATTTTACCTCTTGGAAGACTGAAGGAGTATATTAATAATTCTACGATAATTCTTGCTTACGGCTCTGTCCACACTTTCTTATTCACCAATTTGGTAACTAATATGTGTTAGGTTTTTAAAAAGAGGTAGCCGAGTAAGAACAGCATCACGCACATGGTATTCAGGTAAGGGGTAGGTTTATTCATTGTTCCGGCTGGCACCAGGCCATCTTGGTCCTCCACACTGTGGGGAAAGAGAGCTGGGAGAGCTGGGAAAGAGAAAGAGAGCTGGGAAAGAGAGAGCTAGGAAAGAGAGAGAAAAGAACTAGCAAAGAGGGCATCTAGGCCTGGGCTAGGCCTTATCTAGGGTATGGCCGGAGAAAGGTGTGGCCACATCAAATTCAGATGTGAACTCAGCGGATGCAGATGTGATCTCTTCCAGTTGTGCCAGTTGCCTAGGTAACACAGGTACTGGGCGGAGACTTTGCTTCGAGGAGGGTGGAGTCTGCTCGCCATCCAGGAGCGGACCTTACAATATGTTCCTATTATTTTCCTTAAGATTAATAAATGTAATTACTAATTATATTCTATTTTGTTTTTCTTGATCTTGGATATGTTGTGGTAACTTGTTTACCACTCCTGATTTCTACCTTTCTTGTCTTTCTAAAATTAAAATTCAACTGATTAAACCACTGTACGTTTGTTTATAAAACTGACTTGACCTATTTTTCAGTTCTACCATTTTTTGTATGTGTATTCTAACTTATTAACTTCTGCTTGCATATATTAACTTCTGCTTGCATATAGCTATTACTTTACTACATGTTTTCTTTTATTCTTTTTCTTCATATTTAAGATATGATAAAACTATGAGTTTACCAGTGATCACAGTTTTGGCCACTCTTCACACACAATTTTAAGCATTTTTTTCTAGCCTGTAACAATGGCTAGAAAAACCTTTGGGGTTGGGGAGATGGGAGGGCAGGGATGGTAAGGGAAAACAAAGGAGGAGGCAACAATGCTTGATAAAAAATGTACTCATTACCTTGCTCATGTAATTGTAACCCCTCTGTACAGTATTTTCACAATAAAATACTTATTATATATATGCATATATAATAAGTTTTTAATATATAGATATATAGATATATATATAGAAACCTTTTTGTAGGCTAAGGGGATGCTGGTCCTGGGCTTGACTCAGGGCCTGGGAGCTGTCCCTGGGCTATTGTACTCAAAGTTTGCACTCTACCACTTGGGCCACAGCTCCAATCGGAGATAAGAGTCTCAAACTTTCCTGTCTGAGCTAGCTTTGAACAGAGATACTCAACTACCAAGTAGCTAGGATTTCAGGTGTGAGCCACTAGTTCCTGGCTTAATGTTAACTTTCTAAGAAAAAAATAAGTCTTTTGTCTTTTATTTATATTACTGTCGGATTAAAAAAAATCTAATAATAAATTCATTTTGGTCAAAAAGTAGTTCTGCATAATTTCTTCTTTTGAGATATTGACATAGATCATGTATGTCAGTATTTCACAAATATTTGAAAAGAAGGCTATGCTCTCTTTTTAGGCTACCATGTTCACTGTTGGCCATGAAAATACTCTTATTAGTTGTTAAATATTCTATATTCATCTTTTTTGTCTTTACTCAATGTGCTGAGAGGATTCAAAGTATATTTAACAAGGTTGTTTTAATACATACACAATAGAATATGTACTATGGTAGAAACATGACATCTTTTGATTGCCAGAACTAATGAAGACTTTACTTGTTTTAAAATTGCATTGATTGTTTACAATCAAGGTTGAGTTCAAGTTTTAGATGAGTTCTATTCATTTGTATTGTATTTTCAATTGCTTCCATTATATGTATTTAAAAACTCAGTTCTGATAATACTGACATCAACTCTAATTATCTGAAAATATTTTGTCTAATAATTTCTATGACTGTTGTCAGTTTCAGACATTGTGATACTGTATTGAGAGCAGTAGCAAAGACCTATACTTCCCTTGAAAATATATAAGACTTGCAAAGTCTGATCTTTACAATCCTATAATTCCCTAAATTGGATTTTCCTTCAACTGCACTTTGCAGAATTCTTACAATTAGACTTTATAGCTATATAACCAGAAAGAACCCATGACATAAACATATTCTTAACATGAAACTCCATTTGCTAATTACTTGAATAAAGAAAGAAAATGCTTCTTGAAGCTCTGAGAAGAAATTAAAAGAATGATTGTTTACTTACAGCATTCCCACCAATGACATCATCAAAGCCAAGTGTGGACATTCCAAACCTGCCTTCTTCCTCCTCTTCCTCCTTCCCTGTCTCTCCTACTTACTCCATGACTATAATCATCGCCATCATGTCCAGCTTTGCCGGGTTTGTTCTTCTCATCATAAGCACTCTATATTGTTGCCGACGAAGGAAAGAATGGAAAAACAAGAAGAGGTGAGATATGAGTTGAAGATAATCACATAATGAAATATTTAAAAATATTCAAAAATAATGAATCCTAGAACTGGCAACGCAAAGAGAATGACACATATAAAACTTACCATTTTCTTTAAAAAAAAATTGTCTTGTGCTCTCGTTTGACTTTTTGTACACAAGACTAGTGGTACTCTCCCACTTGAGTCACACCCCCACTTCCAGCTTTTTGCCGGTTAATTGGAGATGAATCTCATGGATTTTTCTGCCCAGGCTGATTTTGAACTGTGATCCTCAGCTCTCAGCTCCTGAGTAACTAGGATTACAGGCATGAACCACTGGTGCCTGGCAACACCAACATTTTCCAAATGACATCCAGAGCCCTTATTTAGTTAAGTATCCATATCATGATCTTTAAAAATATCAGTGTGGGTTTTTTCCAGGCGATACCATGTCCTAAATTTAATTTTTTTTCAATAGAGCTTAAACTCAGGTGTAGGTGCTATCTCTGAGCTTTTATGCTCAAGGTTAGAGATCGACCACTTGAGCCATAGATCCACTTCTTGCTGTTTTGGTAATTAATTGGAGCTAAGCATCTCTGGACTTCTCCTGCCCCTGGGTGGCTTTGAACCAGGACCCTCATATCTCAGTCTCCTAGTAGGTAGGATTACAGGCATAAGCAACTAGTGCCTGCCTGGCTGTAATATGTTTTGTTCTTCAAAATGCCACATTTTTCCCTAGGTCTGAGCACAAATATTTTACCTTGTCCTGAGTTCTTTATTGATCTTGTCTGTCTTACTCGCAGAGAATCAGCTGCAGTCACCCTCACAACACTGCCTTCTGAGCTCTTGCTAGATAGGCTCCATCCTAATCCCATGTACCAGAGGATGCCCCTTCTGCTGAATCCCAAGTTGCTCAGTTTGGAGTATCCAAGAAATAACATTGAATATGTGAGAGATATTGGTGAGGGAGCATTTGGAAGAGTCTTTCAAGCAAGGTAATGTGACCCATAAAACTATAAGCACTCTATTGCAATGTTATATCTGAAAACTACCAGACCATTAATCTAATGTAAATATATGATCTAGAATGGTTATTATCAAATTAGTCCATTTTTGCTTCTTTGCATTTTATGCTATAAATTAAATCTTAATAATTTTCCCATTTTGCTGAAAAAAATTAGTATTCCTAGAAAGGATACGTTTTATTGTATTCAAGAGGAGTAATTTATAGGAAACCTAAATATATCTTCATTTTTATAGTGCTCAAAGAAATCACTAATACTTCAATTGTATTTCCTTTAGACAAAAGAATTTCTGTACTGAACCATAATTTTGTACATTGACCTTAGTGAACAATTCTCAGATTTAATTGTCTTGTTTTCTTTTGCTGTTATCTTTGTTTCATTTAAAACTTACTTTGAATTTATGTTTTAAGAATGCAAAGTTTGCATGTAGACAGATATCAAGTATATATTTATGGAATAGCAAAATAGCATAGGAAAATAATGTAAAGATTCAGAAAAATAATGAGCTCAAGAAACAAGTAGTTACAAATCCAGTATTAGCTCAATGTTTGTACTGTATAAAATAGAATAAAAGATGCTCTCTGCATGGGTACAGCTCCACAGACACACAGCTGGGTCAGAGAAGGTAGACTTGGTCACTGTTGATCTTGGGCAAGACACAATTTTGCTTCTACTTATAGTTGTTCTGCTATTGAGATTACATGAATAGTAAGCATTTTACAAATATTTATTGGAAACCAATAGTTACAATTTAGGGATCTATGGAAAACATGAGGACAAGTAAACCATAGTCCCTGATTTCAAGGACTTTACATTTTAACTAAAGATTAAGGGATTTGAATGGCAGTCATACTGGGAGGCAGAGATGGAAGATTGTAACTGAAGCCTGACCTGGAAAAAAAATTAGCAAGAACCTGTAATAACAAATAAGCCAGATGTGAAGGGGCACAACTGTGATCCCGGCTAGGCAAGAGAAACAGGAGAATCACAGTCTAAAGGTGGCCTCAGACAAAAGCACACGATCCTATCTGAAAAACAACTACAACTAAAAGATCTGTGGCTGTGGCTCAATCAGCTGAATACTTGCTAGGCAATAATGAGGCCCTGAGAGACACAGTGAGAGCAGGTAGGCAGGCAGGCAGGCAGGTAGGTAGGTAGGTAGGTAGGTAGGTAGGTAGGAAGAGAGACAGACAGACAGAAAAACAAAATCACACTGTAGAATCACTCTGCTAAATAATGCATTTTCTTTCACAAAATCCTATCTGAAAAATAACTGCAGCTAAAAGATTGGTGGTTGTGGCTCAAGCAGTTGAATACTTGCTAGGCAAGCATGAGGCCCTGAGAGTGACAGAGAGAGCAGGTAGGTAGGTAGGTAGGTAGGTAGGTAGGTAGGTAGATAGATGGATAGATAGACAGACAGACAGACAGACAGATAACAGAATCACACTGTAGAATCACTAATTAATAAATAATGCATTTTCTTTCTAATTTAATCTGTGTTGAGAATAACCCCATTTAATTTTCTTAATAGGAGTCAAGGAAGTTTAAAGTATAACTATTGTTGTCATCTTCTTTTGATTTTGTCTGTAGAAAGGCGGGGGATGTATATAAACACGGCAAACACACCAAGGGTATGTATAATCTCCCTGATCTTCAGCTCTTTTCCACTTATCTCCCAGGGCCCCTGGCTTGCTTCCTTATGAACCTTTCACCATGGTGGCAGTAAAGATGCTCAAGGAGGAAGCCTCTGCTGATATGCAAGCCGACTTTCAGAGGGAGGCAGCCCTCATGGCGGAATTTGACAACCCCAACATTGTGAAACTCTTAGGTATGAAACTCTGAGGAAATTGACTTAATCAGAAAATGAAGGCTTTCTGAGTTTCTTCTTTTATATTTCACTTAGTTATGCTTTTGCTTCCCTCTGATTAGTAAGCTGTCTCTATTCCTTTTCTAACTTACATGCTTCACCTAGGTTCTATGTTCATTCTGTGCCAACCCTGGAAGATGTGTGTGCTTTCCACATCATTGCTTGCATTTTTTTGTTGCTTCCTGCCTATGCAAGAAAGCATTTAAAATATTATCCCCCATACAGAAATAGACACTGCCTTTCTATCACACAATTTATTAATGCCTCATGGTCTGCATCTTATACTTTGTAGTTTTATTTATTCTCTTTTCCCCCACTGGAATGCCATGGGAGCAATCACTTGTAATTTTTGCTCATCTTAGTGTTGTCATTTATTAAGGCTCAGAAGTTTACAAACATTAAATAACTAGCTTGTATAGTTATATAAAAGAAAACCCCCAGAACTCCCTTCTCATCTCTCATGGAGCTTCTATTCTTATTCTGGGGAGACAGATAAGAAAAACAAATTCACAAAATGTGGTATGCTGGAAATTAATAGGTAAAGACTTTTTTGTGATATACTGGGTTTTGCACTCAGGGCCTTGCACTTGTGAGATAAAAATGCTACTACTTGAGCCTTGCTTCCAGCCCTAACATCTACAGATTTAAAAAATTCAAAGCAAAAAGCTTTTTGGAGTATGAGTTAAAATTTGTGACAGAATGTGATATGCATGTAAAGGTCTGACAGAGGTAAGGGAATAACAACGTTGAGACACTGGAAAAGAGCAAGAAGAAGCATTGCAAGAATTTACAAATGTGGCAAGAGTACCTGGTATGCTCAAAGAATGTGGGGATGGCTGGAGAAGAATCAGAGAGAAGAGTTATCAATGACAACATCAGAGTGGTATTATGATAGAGAGGTAGAAAGAGCCAATTATGCCTCCTTAAAAACTGGCTTAGACTCTGAGCAAAGTAGAAAGCAAGAGGAAAATTTAATTCAAGAAGTGACATAAGAAGTGACGACATGATACGTGTGACTCATAGCTTTCTAGATCTTCTCTCTCTCTCTAAAATAACTAGCAAAAAGCAGAGTAGGAGGTGTGGCTCAAGTCAAAGTTTCAGCTAAGTAAGCAACCTGAATGAGTGTACGGCTCTGAGTTCAAACCCCAGGACTGCCAAAAATGGGAAGGGAGAATGGAGAGTTCTAATGTTTATGGCTGCATGGTTGAAAGAATGAAGGATCCATTGATTGAGTTGTGTGAAACCCAGAAGTAGATTTACTTATTTTTTTTAATCATTTTATTTAGTTTTTGTTTATGTGGCACCAAGGAATCAAACCCAGGGCCTCATGTATGCTAGGCAAGGACTCTACCACTAAGCCACATTTCCAGCCCTGTAGGTTTACTTTTGTAGAGGAAATGAGACTACTTTCTCAGATACATTTGTTCAAGATGGTTATTCAATTTCCAGACAGTTAATGAGTTAAGTAGACATGAAGTTCAGTAAACAGCCTGATTTAGATATAAATCTGAGATCATTGGAGAAACAGAGTATTTAATCCGTGAAGCTAAGTTAAGACACAACATTTAAAATAGGAAAAGATATGAATACAAAAATGGATTAAAATATATAAAATATATTAAAAATAAAATTAACAAGAATGTAAATAAATAAATTTCAATGAGACCTCAATTTTTTTCCTAAGGAGAATAATCTAAACTAATGATCTGTTTTTATGCTGATATTTTGCCCAGTTGACTTAATTATCCCAAGTTCACAAGTTTCCTACTTAATATAGCAAGATCTTCTGCAGATTTTCAAATGCCCTTCTGGCATTAAATATACATCTCCACTTACATTAACATCATTTTGTTTGTAGAATGAAGATCAATAGTAAAATACAGCCTAAACTGTAGCACGTTTTACTGCTGCCATCTAAATATTTCATCTAAGGATCTTGGATTGTTTTTGTTGTTCTTTCCAAACTTGATACGTCTTCTTTGTTGTCATTCTTCAGGGACGTAAACACAAACTGGGTGGTTCAGCCATGCACATGGAGCAGATATCCATTCATGAATCTACTCATTAAACATTACTGAACACTGGGCCTGGGAAGGGGGCTCAGTGGTAGAGCGCTTGCCTTGCATGCATGAGGCCCCAGGTTCAATTCCTCAGCACCACATAAGCAGAAAAAGCCAGAAGTGGTGCTGTGGCTCAAGTGGTAGAGTGCTAGCCTTGAGCTGAAGAGCTGAGGGACAGCGCCCAGGCCCAGAGTTCAGACCCCATGACCAAAAACAAAACAAAACAAAAACATTATTGAACACCTACTTGTGGTATATTGTGGTCATGGGAAATTTAAAGAGGAATAACATATAATCTCATCTTTCAAAGTGCAAACATATTGGAGAGAAACCACAGATAAATGGAATGTTTGTAAAAAATAAAATAGTCACTGGGTACAAGGACAATAGAAGAGAAAGCTAGCTGTATTGGAAAGGTCAGGAGCTGGGGCACCCCAAGAAGAATACAAATAAACTGAACCTCGGAAGGTAATAGGAGATGTTTAGACAAAGAAATAGGTCAGAGTTTCACTAAGATGTTGTCAGCAAAAACTGGACCCCTTGTTTTCTGATCTGCTCACGGCCTGTTGGGGTGCTCGTTCCCTGTGTTGTTTTAGAGAATCGGTCTAATAGAGGTTGTTATTTTGGTTCCAGGCGTGTGTGCTGTTGGGAAACCCATGTGTCTGCTCTTTGAATACATGGCCTATGGTGACCTCAATGAGTTCCTCCGCAGTATGTCCCCTCACACCGTGTGCAGCCTCAGTCACAGCGACTTGTCCATGAGGGCTCGGGTCTCCAGCCCAGGACCTCCACCTCTGTCCTGTGCAGAGCAACTCTGCATTGCCAGACAGGTGGCAGCTGGCATGGCTTATCTCTCTGAGCGCAAGTTTGTCCACCGAGATTTAGCCACCAGGAACTGCCTAGTAGGGGAGAACATGGTGGTAAAAATTGCAGACTTTGGCCTCTCCAGAAACATCTACTCAGCAGACTACTACAAAGCTAATGAAAATGATGCCATCCCTATCCGGTGGATGCCACCAGAGTCTATTTTCTACAACCGCTACACCACAGAGTCTGATGTGTGGGCCTATGGGGTGGTCCTCTGGGAGATCTTCTCTTATGGTCTGCAGCCCTACTACGGGATGGCTCACGAGGAGGTCATATACTATGTGCGAGATGGCAACATCCTCTCCTGCCCTGAGAACTGCCCCCTGGAGCTGTACAATCTAATGCGCCTGTGTTGGAGCAAGCTACCTGCAGATAGGCCCAGTTTCCCCAGCATCCACCGAATTCTGGAACGCATGTGCGAGAGGGCAGAGGGAGCTGTGGGTGTCTAAGGTTGAAGATAGAAGCTCAAAAAAAAAAATACTACAGTCTGCTCTCAGACTCCTTGAGCCAGAGAAATCCTATACCCCAGGCTCCAATAGGAAAGAATGACAGGAGAAACCAGGGGACTATATTTGTTTGCCATGTGATCATCAGACTCAGTGCAAGCGGTGACTGGACATGTAGGTTAGAAAATGTGTCAGACCAAAACGATAACCCTCCTTCATCCCAGGGAACGTCTGCAACACACACTCCACAAGAACGTATGTCATTCTGTTCAGTTCCTGGATTAGCCGGCAGCAGAATAATAGTAGGTTGTGTTAAATTTTATTAAGAACTGAATTCAAAGCTTAATCCCTGTCCACTGTGTAAGTAGCATGTGCTCACACTAGAAATTCAGATCAAGTATAGACAACTAAAAAGCGAAATCAAAGATTCCTACAGGCTATTAGAGTTTGTCATTGCTGTTTTTGACATTTTTTTGCATTTAATGCACAATTTTGTTTTTTTTTATTCTGGAGTTGGGGTTGTACTTTTTTGGTACAGGGTCCTAAGGGTTGAAATGGGAGATCAGCCACACTATGTTCTCACTGTGGATCTATCCCTTTTCTGATGTCATTGTTGGGAGTATAATCTTCTGTTTGATTCCTACAATTTTTTTCTACAAAGAAATTAGCATTGTCTCATGCTGTTTCTTTAAAAATTTTATTGGCAACATTTTCTTTGTCTTCATCTTTATTTCTTCCTTATTCTACAACTCTATCATTTTGTGATTGATTGTTTAATCAAATTTTGTGCCTTTTATTTCATATAGATACTAAACACCCAGACAGAAAAAATGATGTCAAACATAACATTGGAGATTGATACAACTATACCTGTGGTCAGATATCAGCTTTTTCTTCTGTATGTGCCTTTGAAGCCACAACTTACTTACTTTCCTTCCTTCCTTCTTTCCTTCATTCCTTCCTTCCTTCCTCCTTCCTTTCTTCATCTGGCTTTTTGGAGATAAAAGTCTCTTAAATTTGTCTGTCTGGGATGGCTTTGAAAAGGGATCATACTATCTCAGCCTCTTAAATAACTAAGATTACAGGCATAAGCCACACCTTTCTAATTTGTCAACTATTATTTTTATCAGTGTAGTCTCTTGTCTCTTTAACCATGGTGTATAATATGAGTGCTCTTAGGCCTTATTTCAACATTGATGTTTTTGTGTATTCTGAGTTTTTTTCTTTTAGAAACCCATTCTATTGGCCAAAGAGTTAGTATAGCATTGCTTAGTAACTTCTTCACTGTACATGAATATAAAATCTTGTTACATAGTATGATTTTTTTTTCAATTCTGTAATTCAGATACCTGGTGGTAAAGATTTCTTAGTGGAATCCTACTCATATTTATCTGACACAAATGACAAGAGATTTTCCTGTCATAGCATGAACCCCATTTCTCCTGAGAAGCAAACAAATAGAAAAGGGAAAACAGAAATCTACTCCATACAAGTTTGCTTTAATTCAAACTCATTGGCAATTTGACAAACTCATTGGAAATTTGGCCAATGAAGGAATGGTCTGAATTCTTAAAAGTGGATTTTTTTTTCAACTATCTGTTGGAAAACTCCACTTGAAAATTCCCACATCTGCCTAATGCAACTACTCAACATCTTCGCAGGGAAATTTGTCTGTCTTTATTCATTGTCTAGGCAACCAAAACAAAAATGTGGAATTTAACCTAGACTTGGCCCTCTTCTTCATTTCTACTTTTTTTTTTTTTGGTCAGTCATGGGGCTTGAACTCTGGGCCTGGGCGCTGTCCCTCAGCTCTTCAGCTCAAGGCGATCGCTCTACCACTTGAGCTACAGCGCCACTTCCAGTTTTCTGGTGGTTTATTGGAGATAGGAGTCTCACGGTCTCTCCTGCCCAGGCTGGCTTTGAACCGCGATCCTCAGATCTCAGCCTCCTAAGTAGCTAGGATTACAGGCGTGAGCCACCAGCGCCCGGCTTCTACTTTTTTTTATATCCATTTTACTTCCCAAACTTCTCCTCCTTACACCCTCTTCCCTTCCTTTCAACAGTTAGTTACTCAAGTTCTCTTACTCCCCCCACCTGTCCATGAACTGACTTCCTGCCATTTCAAGTCTGATCAGATTCCCTGAGCTATGATCATGGCAAAGAGATACTTAACAGCTCTGATTCATAAAAGGGGGGTTGGGAGGGGTGTTTGAATTTAGGATTGAGGACAAGTCTTTAAAGTCATGATCACAAGTCCAAAATTAATGGGTGTTCAAAATGTTGAATAAAGTTAAAGCATGAATGCAAAACAGGCCAAAAAGCCAACAAAGTAGGATATTAGAGAGAATTCCTAGGAAGTGTCCATCAACTTTAGAAGGAGAGGACGTTTACTGTATATTTTATATAGTTCACCTACATGGATCACATATGTCTGCAAATTATGAAGATACCTTTAGGGTTTCCTCAGCTTTTATACTTTCATTGTAAAGTCTTGGAAGTCAGGCCAATAGGAAAAGCTAATTTCCAGAATAGCAACTTATGAGCAATCACTCATAAATATTATGAAAGCCATTCAATTCTCAATATTTAAAGGAACTGAAAATTAAAATAAAGAGAAGAGCTCATCATTATAGTAATCCTAGTAATAAACTTTTTTGAAAGCTTAGCATATATATTCTAAAGCCTTTAAATATATTAATTTAATTCTCATAATATCTCTGTGGCATTGGTATTATCTTTACAACCACTTTTAGGTGAGGAAACTGGTGCAAGAGCCCAGTTAACAATCAGAGCAGGACAAATTCTTCAGCACAGTAAGGAGAAAGCTGAATACTGAAAAATGAGTGATAAGCTGTGTATAGCTTCAAAACCCATGCTATAACCCTCATGGGTTTAATTTCCTATCCAAGTCTTTTGAATGAAAAGCAAAAAGTATATTTTAGCATTGTCAATTTAAGGCAATCAAAGCATGTAATAGGTGGCATGTTTATTTTTTCATGAGGTTGAACTGCATTTTCAAGGTCACTAACTCATTTCTTTAGTGCTTGCACTAACTCTTTAGATGCATTATTTACTGATATTACTTTCTTTTTCTTCCCATGATAAAATCATGGGAAATGCAAAACTAAAACTTAGGATATCAGAGAAAGACACAGTGCCATTTCTATCAACTGTCAGGACAGACATTAGCCAGGCACCAGAAAGTCTTCTTAAGTGATCACATATAAAACCTGGTAAAAGCACAAGGTCCTTTTGCACAACACACACACACACACACACACACACACACACACACACATACACATTCTTTAATATGTAGATGAAACAGAAAAAGAATAGTCTCTTTCTATTTTCCAGAATATTTTGTATTTTTTCCTTCATTAAGTGCGCTTCTAAATACTCAATTTGATTTCTAAGTAATATTCTATTTCATAGATATACAATAACAAACAATTTGATATTCTTTTAAATTTTGCTATTTTATAATTCTTACCATTACACATAATATTCAAATGATCACCCACAGTTGCACATGTCTATGTCCATAGCTATCTCTTTAAGTCTCTCGCTATTTGTGTGTGTGTCAGTACTAGACTTGGAGTTCAGGGCCTTGTATTCGCTAGACAGGTGCTCTACTGCTGGGCCATAATCCATCCCAGCAACTGTCTCTTGCTAGAAATCTGAGAGACTGTCTAGTCAACAAGGCAAATATAATGTCAAGAACTTTGTTACATATGATCACATCCTTAAAATCTCATTTTCATCTCTGCCTTGTATATGAGATGTCATGTCCCTAAACATTCTCTGCCACAGACAATTAATACTCTCTTTTTGATGAACCTTTTGTTTATCTGGTCATAGAAAAAGAGTATCTAACTTCAATTTTATTTTTTGAACTATTACTGAGGTTGAACTTTTCTTGTTCTGAGGTCATGCATAGTTTTTATTTTGGTAACTGCCTGCAGCCCATTTTGTTGTTGTGCTCATTTTGTAATTAAGATGAAAGAAATATTTTATACTTTTGTCATGTATTACACAAAAGACTACCATATTTATATAATTTACCTTAAAATAACATTTTTCTCTTTTCTTGTAAAAGCAAATCCTTATTTTAAAAGAAAAAATATAAGTGATATGCACAATGGTAATACAATACCCAATAATACTAAACTATAATGAAAGTGTGAAAACATCAGTAGGCAGTTATTAACATTAACATCATGAAAAATGTGCTTTCAGGGTTTTTTAGACAGGTAAATGATAGATTGATGGATAGATAGATGATACCAGGTTGACAGATGATAGATAGATGATGACTGATAGATGACTGATAGACACAAAGGTTGATTTTAAGTAGACCCAAGTCATATTGTAACATTAAAATTTTGCTTTTATTACTTATTATATCTTAGACAACTTCTCCATCAACAAGTATTTCTATACAACACCTTTTCTTTTTTTATTGGTGCATGTCAGTCCTAAGGCTTGAACTCAGGGCCTAGTCACTGCCCCTGAGCTTTGAACCACAGTTCCACTTCTGGCTTTTTGGTGGTTAACTGGAAATAAGAGTTCACAGACTATGCTGCCTAGGCTGGCTTTGAACTACTATCCTCAGATCTCACCATTTAAGTAGCTAGGATTATAGGCAGGAGCCATGAATGCCTAGCTGAAACATTATTTTTAATGTTTGAATAATATTCTTTTATATGGATTTGTCATAATTTTATAACTAATCGTCTATTTTGAATATTTGTTTTAAGTATGCTCACTATAAAAATGTGATTTCTCAAAATTCTTGTTGCTAAATTTTGTGAACATTTCTCTTAAGTGACTTGTTTAGATGTAATTATGAGAAACAATTTCTAGATTATCTGATATACTTTTAATGCTTTTTAATATATTGAAAATTATCTTTCTTATTTTGTCATGTACACATCCCCAAAGCACTGTTTTCAACTTCACCAATACTGAGCATATTTGTATTTTAATCATTTGCAATGTAATAGCTTGATTTTTTTTTTGTTTTGTAGCTTATATATTTCTTCAACTGCTGATTTTGTTGAATATTTTCAATATTTTAGAGACAACTGACTTGTCAATTGTCTTTCTATGGTTATTTTTCTATTGAGTATATCTTTCGCTTGTTGCTTAAACTTTGTCAGACCCTGTTTCAGTCAATTCTTAATGTTGAAAATATATGCACTAGGCTTCCATGTATCTTTTACTGTACAGTTTTATTAATCAAAAAAGAATGGTGAATTTTCAATCTGTACAAATGATTATTTTTCTGTAAGTGTTAATATGTTAATATGTGCAATTGTGTGAACTGATTTCCTAAATATTGAGACATCTTTGCTAGTCTAGGAATAAGCTCTCTTTGGGTGTGTCACATCAATCTATTTAACTGCCAAAATTTACTTATTCACATTTCT